GATTAGGATTAGATTAGATTAGATTAGGATTAGATTAGACTAGGATTAGATTAGATTAGGATTAGATCAGATTAGGATTAGATTAGATTAGGATTAGATTAGATTAGGATTAGATTAGATTAGATTAGGATTAGATTAGATTAGGATTAGATTAGATTAGATTAGATTAGTTAAACAAAAAATAAAACAAATACAAAACACAAAAAAAAAACATTTTTCAAATCTATTTTGCACATAACTCTGATTTCCCAGACTTCCAAACCACCAACCCAAACCGCCATATAAGTATAACCTGATTACTCTTACTGGAATTCAAAATTCAATGTTTCTTGTCTAAACTCTAAACTAAATATTTCGTTCCTCAGTGAAGCTGGTTTACCATGCAAAGTAAAGCTATAGTACCCAAGGACAGAAGTTGGCAACGCACCAAGTTTCTTGCTAAGATTAATGTCCTTGTTCAAAACCTTCTCGCCTGGGTATTTGGTCAAAGTGCTCTTGCTTGGAGTTGGCAAGTATTTTTTGGTTAAACTACTGATTTCCTCCAGGAAATTGTTTTGCGGCGGAGGAGGAGGAGCAAGAGGAGGGCAGGGCACATCTAAGGTCTGCCATTTGTTGCAACCGTTCTTTGTCGAAATTACTACTTCACTGATTTGCCTTCAGATCCGAGGAATCACAACGAAAGGGTCTTTTTTGATACAAGTATATAGTCAAGTGAGGTCAAGTGGTTGTCCTTACAGGATTTAAAGGACATTGAATCTTATTCTGTCGCAATTCTTTTGAAGAAACTTCTCCGGAAATCATGCATGGCTCCCATTGCTTCTGAATCGACCCCGTGGCGAAAAAACTGGGAACCTTTCTGATTGCTGGGGCTGAGCAACACAGGGAAGGGACGCTTTGCAGACAAGAGCACTGACGTGAAAAACCAACAGCTGGATAAGTAATATATATTGTGTTCAGGATGGTGCACTTTTTCCGCCAAGCACGTAGGCTTCGATTGTGAGACTCGTGTCTCGCCTCAAAGTTTTTGAGGACACATCCTCAGTTATCTCAGAACCTCCTGGTTGAGGCAATTTATAAGTGAACTGACAGCACCTTCTGGATAAGGCGCAAAAGAAAAAGCCTCCTGGTTGAGACATACAAAAGCTTTTGACCAAGCACGAACAAATGTTCAGCTGTCATTCCGCATTCCCATCCAAAGGGGGTTGGGCCGAGGTGGGCCTCAGCTTAAGCCTAAAAGCAAGTCAGCGTCAAATGTTACCCATCAATCACACAAGAAGTTCGAGGAACAATCTTGTGTTCAGGATGGTGCACTTTTTCCGCCAAGCACGTAGGCTTCGATTGTGAGACTCGTGTCTCGCCTCAAAGTTTTTGAGGACACATCCTCAGTTATCTCAGAACCTCCTGGTTGAGGCAATTTATAAGTGAACTGACAGCACCTTCTGGATAAGGCGCAAAAGAAAAAGCCTCCTGGTTGAGACATACAAAAGCTTTTGACCAAGCACGAACAAATGTTCAGCTGTCATTCCGCATTCCCATCCAAAGGGGGTTGGGCCGAGGTGGGCCTCAGCTTAAGCCTAAAAGCAAGTCAGCGTCAAATGTTACCCATCAATCACACAAGAAGTTCGAGGAACAATCTTGTGTTCAGGATGGTGCACTTTTTCCGCCAAGCACGTAGGCTTCGATTGTGAGACTCGTGTCTCGCCTCAAAGTTTTTGAGGACACATCCTCAGTTATCTCAGAACCTCCTGGTTGAGGCAATTTATAAGTGAACTGACAGCACCTTCTGGAGAAGGCGCAAAAGAAAAAGCCTCCTGGTTGAGACATACAAAAGCTTTTGACCAAGCACGAACAAATGTTCAGCTGTCATTCCACGCTTCCCAGCAACGCGTCCTTGCCATTTGTATGAAAAATGGCGAAATCAGAAATGAAACTTAAGCAGCATCTTTGAAGTCCTTGGAGTTCTTTGTATGGAAGGAAGGTAGCTTAAGGCATCCATGATATACACCTTGGCCACTTTACTTGATTCCCAACGTCCGCGCATCAATGCCAGCTCCATCGAATGGGACATTTGAAAAGTATGCGTAGCTCCGCCACGCCTGAGTGAATAAGGTCTAAAGTTATGCCGCTGCAAACCAAAAGAAATACAAAGGTTCCTAAATCTAGTGCGGAAAGCTGAACCGCTGCCGGACCAAAGAGGTTGCATTTCCAGTCCCAAATCCTTTTTGACTGAGCAAAGCGTGGAGAGCAACTCGAGGACGACGAAATCAGTGATACTAATAGCTTCATTGGCGCTATTGCGCCTGCCAGATTTGGTCTCCTTTAAGGAGCAAATCCCTTGTGATGAATTCAAAGTGAAATCAACTGCCCGCAGCTTGAGTGCTTCGCCTGTCCGCAATAAACAGTGGAAAGAAAGGACCAAAATGGTTGCCATCTCCAAATGACCCTTGTGAAGTTCATAAGCTGACATCGATCTGACCAGTTCCAAAGTAAGTGGAGGTGCTCTGCTTGGCAGCTCAATTCTCCGCCATACTGCAAATAGCTTCCAGCTGTGAGGAATCTTACGCTTTGACCAAGGTTCATAAAAATGAAAAGCCGACAGAGCATCGCCAATGGTGAGCAAAGGCTCCCCACTCTTCCACATTAAATGGATCCAGTCACATACTGCAGGGTCAAGGGCAGCTTCCGAAGTGACAGCCTCAATGTGTGGCATAAGCTTCCGTAATGCTGCATAGTACCTAGTCCTTGTTTTGTCACTCAAAGCTGCGTCCTCAAGGACTATGTTCTTCCTCTTTTTCTGCCGCTCAGCGCGGGAAGGCTTCCCAGCGAGCACATAAGTGACCATCAGCGGCGGGAACCCTTGTCTGTTGGGTTGTCTGTGGACTCCACATATGCCATGATTAATTGCAATCCAAAAGCTAAAAGATGTGCATTAATCTTTGACGGAACCCTTTGTATTTGCAGGCTGGAACTCCTACCTTTTCCCACAACACTGAGACAAACATATGAGTCAGAGAATTGGAAGATCCTTGCATCAGCCGCTTTGAGCCGCTCGATCTGAAATTTAACCCCCCAAAGTATGGTCTCCAACTCAAGCACATTTATATGGGCTTTTCGTTTCCATCTCCTGCTGAACCCCTCCTTCCATTTCCACCATGCTGAAGCAATTGATTGCCTGGGGTAAGCCTTTGAGTTGAGAACTTCTCCAGTGATGATGCGAACATCAGAACCAGTGCGATTAGTTCGCCTTAAGAGCATCCTATTGACCAATTGCATTCCCAAAACAGATAAGTTGTTTTGCAAAGGCATAGATCCATATGAAAGGCCCCTACAGAGTGGCATAGTACTCCTGATGTGTGCAACAAAACCAGGCGCCATCCCCATACGTTGAACCAAAAACCGATAAGGGGTACAGGGGACAAAATCTCTGCAGCAAGCCATTGCCAGTAATACGAAGCTGTAAATGCTAAAAGAATCTCCCAAATACGAATGTCGCGCATCGCTGTATCCCACGGGATTTTGTTTTTGCTTTGAAGCTGACCAACAAACTTCTGTATGGTTCATGCCGTACCCCAACAGTAACTCCTTTTCTGATGCACTCAAAAGTCTCCAGCTTTTGTCTGTGGTGATCAAAAATTGGTCTTGGTATTGATAGGGGGGATATCTATAGCTATCGTCTCTCCACCGTGCCTGACACGCGCTGTCACATTTCTCCAATCCTGCCGGTCGAGGAGGAGGTGATTGTCGGCATATTGCCTTCATGCATGTGGGAAAAACTGTACCCTGCGCTTCGCCTTCCCAAGTGAAACCCGGTGTAAGCCACTGTTGTGTCAAGGGGTACTCAGCTTCAGCGATGACCTCTTTGAAATAGGACCCTGGAACCACTGACACATCCGGTAGGAGAGATTCTAACTTCTCCGTCGTCCAACAAAAACGTGGCCTACGCATGGGAACTGCTTGGACGCAGTCCAACTTATAAGGGATTTGTCCAACCTCCTCGGTGATCTCGGTGGCTGCTGAGCGGTCCATTGACGCCACATTTTCCAAAACCTCTTTTACTGTGACGCTTGGCCCAAAGTGGGTCTTGACTTCCTTTGAAATTCGGGGCACTTCCCAAAACAGTGAACTCTGGCTTCCCAAGAGATTACAACGGTTGTACTTGACTGCAGAAAGGTCAGTGCAGGGGAAACCTGCCCACAAGTGGATTTCCTTCACTCCCAAATAAAGCCGGCTCCACTGCTGTATCATTTCTGAAGTCACCAGTCTAACATCTTCCACAATCACTGTGCCCGGCCAGCGATGGCTTGTCACCCTGTTGGCCCCCTTGTCCATTTCCACAGCTATCCTTGCTAAAGGGACCACGCCAATAATGTCGTAGGCGCGGAAGGCCCCGCCTACTCCATTGAATAGGCTAATTACCAACACTGGGATTGTTTGACTTGTGGGTGCACGTTCAAGCTTCTGACATGCCTGTATGAAGTCATGTCCTGTCTCAGTCAGTTCCTCTGCCCAGCCAATTGCTCCACCAGTTGTAGAGGCGTCGCTGGCCACCACATAGTTCATTATTTTGGCGCCCAGATTGCAGTGGAAGAGAAGAGATGCTCCTACCAAATTCAAAAGTTCCTTTCGCACCTCATCTCGCAGTGTCTTGGTGATCCGCTTATGCCCCCCAGTGAAGTGCCAAAGTTTCTGAAGGAAGCTCATTGCTGGCCTACGAAACTGGAGGATGAACATCCAACGCCCTGCAATAATCTGTACATGTTTCCGGTTCATGAGAGGCCGTGTCACTAGCCATAGTGTTGATAGAATCACATGCAGTAATTTCTGACTGGAGACTCCCAGCATTGCTTGCTCTCCATCAATCTCAGCTCCCAATTCCAGTGCGCGAGCTGCTGCTGTTACTCGCTTTTTGCTCGAAGATAAAACGCCTGCTTCACTCCAAGCTGCTTCAGCGGCCTCGTGGGCCATACGGCCACGGTCTGTCGCACTCCATGGCGCAAGTCGTTCACCAGCACAAAAATTATCTAAATAGATATGCCACCAAAAAGCTTGAGTGTCCTTGGCCTCTGTTAAAATGTCTGAAAACCAATGCGGTAGTGAGACCCCTCGCGCCACTTGATTTCGGGGGTTAAGACCAGACACCTTCAACAAATTTTCAGAGATCTCCTGCATGAGGCTAACGCTAGAAAGCCATCCCATGGGGATGACTTTGCATGCCAATGCCATCTTGTTGTTCCCCGGAAGCCCCAGCTCGCTGCAGGAAACGACAATATTGAAACTGAGAAACTTTCTCCAAATAGCCGGTAATTCAAAAAGATAGAATGCACTGCACATATCAGATTGAAAAAGTTGAATAGATTCCCCTTCATCAAGAACAATACCTTGCCATGCTGTAATTGTAGGAAGTGAAGTCGTGCCACCTTCCAATTGCCATTGTGTAGCATTAGAACCAGTTAAATTCATGATACATCTGAGCACGCATCGACCATCTTCCAACAACGCTGGTTTCTCCACTCCAAACAAGCCGTTCAACACTTTAATTCCCCCAATTGAATAGACATCATCAAAAGGAATCCACTCGCAAACGCCCCTACGAACCAGTTCCAATGCAATCTTTAGCTTATCGCCCTCGTCGATGCGAACTTTCCCAGGCATCTTCGGTAACTCAACCAGTTCAGGTTCCTTAAGAAGGAGTGTTGGGTTCAACAAAAACCGCAAAGTTTGGGGGCCTACCCAGTCAATAGCTTTTATGCTGCCCCCGTGACCCTCTGGCGGGAGAGCTGGAATCACCTGATCCCATGTCAACTTGTGGCACGTTGACAACTCTTCACCCGTATACCCTACTTGACGCCCATGGAGCTCTTTTTGCCACCCTTCCAGTGTCAACGGCGCTCTGATGCTATCTGTGGCCAGTTTTCTAGTCACAGCAGCCCTGACACTACGCTGGGCAGCGAGCTCTGAAGCAGTCCAGCGGCCCGGCACCAAGCCAGCCGCGGCACCCGCCAGAGCATTCAAACTCCGTAGGCATAAATATACCCACGCGTCGACCGCATAGTGCTGCAGCTGCACGTCAGAAACAGCGCTGCGCACATCAAGGCGGGCAAAAACACTCACAAAAACATGCAACCCCCCTTCACGGATGGGAAAAACTGAGCCACGCAAACGAGCATGGCCCGGGTGTGCTTGGCGTCCACCTGGCATCATCCAGATCTCGCTAAGACACCTTGTCATTTCATCAAGCTCGGGTGTACTCCACCCAGCGATGACCCACCAGCAAAGTAAGCACCCCGTGGTTACCAGTGAAGTGCATAGTGCCAGTGATTCTGTAAAAGTCATTTCTGCTGTGCCTTCCACTTCCGAGCCATCATTGGCAGTGCGCGCGGCCATTACCAGCGCAGAGCCAGTGAGACTGCTGCTTCCTATTTGTCCGGAAGCTTCTCGCGTGTCTTCTGTGCGTTGTCTCCTTCGCCTGCTGAGGGCGCGGGCCAACCTCCTTTCTGCTTGCCTTTGCCCTTGCCCCCTTTCTTCCCTTTTGACTTTCCGTCGTTGTTGCTGGGCCAGTGCGAATCGCCCCATTGCTGGCCCTTTCCACGGCCGCCTCTGCCTCGGCCGCCCGCGGACCCCGTCCAGTACTCCTGGCTGTTGAGCTTTGCAGCTAGCTTTGCATGCTTCCTTGCCTGGAGTACTATGGCGTTTCCTGCCGCCGTGGAGTCCTCCATGGGCATCAGCTCCAAATGACGGGCCGTGCTCCATCCGCCGTCCAGCAGTGACTGATGCACGGACATGAAGCGGCTCGCCAATAGGTCCCCTAACACGTCGAGGTCCCCTTGGCGGAGCAGGTCCAGGCCATTTGCGAGGAGATGCATCTCCCGCACAGGCCCGGAAATTTGCCCCAATTGCGGCCTGACCACGATGCTGAAGTAGCTGCTCAGCTTGTCCCGGCCGGCCGGCTGGACTGAGACCTTGCTGGTCTGGTCCAACTGCTGGCGCGCGTGCTCCACCAACAGCGCTAGCACCGACCCCGGCTTCTCCTTGCTCCTCTTCTTGAGGGGGGCATCCATCTCCAGGGAGTCTGAGCTTGACTCCCCCTCCGAGTGCCCACTGGAGCTGCCCCCGTAGCTCGATGTCGGAGAGCTCGAATGGTCCGGGTCCTGCGACCCCCCACTTCCTCCTTTTCTTCTCTTGCGTTTCTTCTTCTTCTTCGAGGTCTCCCCGTCTTTCTTTCTCTTCTTGGACGACCTGGCACCCTTGGTAAGGATCTTCAACAGCTGAGTGGAGACATCCTTCTTCCGATGTTTCCTCTTCTCCGCTTTCTTGTCCTCGGCTTTCCTCAGAGCTGTGTCGGTCGCCCTCTGGACCAACTGTCGTTGCAAGGTGCTCGAAGTGCCGCCTCTTAAAACCTCCAATCGGCCTCCTCTGTCGCGCTCCTCTCTGTGATCCTCTGCCTTTGTCTTGCGCTTCTTCTTGTCCCTGCCTGATCCTGAGGGGCCCCCATCGCCCCGACCAGGAGGGAGATGAGTCCCGTCCTCCAGCTTCCCGTCGGCCAAGGAGGGAGAATAGCCTGGAGACAAAGATGGACGGGTTTCCAGCTCCTCTACACCTGGCGGGGGCGGCAACGCCCCAGAGCGGCGCCCCCACCCGGTGCTACTCCCGTCAGCCTCTGCCGCAATGCGGCAAGCCGGGCTTTCAATGTCTCTTGGTCGATTCCCCCCTTGTCGCCAGCACCCATGTCTCCTGGAAGGGCGCCCCCCGCAGCGGGAGCTCCAGGACGACTCCGTCGCACGGCGGGCTCGCCAGCGCCAGTGTCTCTCCGGCTCGTCGGCTTCTTTGCCGCCTCGGCAGCTCTTGCCGCCGCCTCTTCGCCTGAAGAAAGCTCCACGCCATCCAGGTCCAGAAAGTCCTGACCTTCTTCGCCTACCACCTTGATGTCTTCGTCCAGCCATTTCTGAAAGTTTTTCTTTGCATAGGCCCCCACAAAGTCCGCCTCGTAGGTCTCGCCTTCGTAGATCCTCAAGGACCCAATGTGGAGCGGGTGATTCGCCATTACACGGCAGGCGCCCCCACAGAGGTGTATGGTGCCTCTCTTTCTGTTGAAAGTTGCTGACATCTTTTTGGCCAGACCCGGGTCTTCGCTTCCCAAGCTCTTGACCATCAACAACAAGTCCCCGGTCACTGAAAGCAGAACCTTCTGAACCAAAAAGGCACAAATGGCTTCTCCTGCAGCCACATCCTCGCTGACGGGCAGGTCCGTCTCTATCACCTGCCCTTTCTGCACCGTAAGTGCCTCCCATCCTTCTTTGTCTTCAAAAGTGAAAGCCCTCACAGCGTCACCTGCCATCTCGGTGGGACCTGCGATGATCACCGTCGTCTCTCAGCCTGTCTGGAGCGTCCCAGTGGCTGGCAGGGGGCCGCCTGTGAACCCTGATGGACGGGTCCTCAAGTGCCCTGTAGAGCCGAGGGTGGTTGCGGCCTCCTCGGTTCCCACGCCTGTCTCGTTTGTCCTTGTTCTTCTTCTTTTTCTTTTTCTTAGCAACTTCCCCAGCGGCAGCCGGCTCCTCAGGTGCAGGCCTCTTCCTGCTAGCGTCTGGCCGCCTTACAATGGGCGGTAGCTCAGGCTCTGGTGGCCGCCTGGCCGGGTCGCTCTTGGCAAACAGGTGTTGTTGCCCAGGAGAAGACTCTCCGGATTCCTCCAGAGACTCCTCAGAGGACCCCTCTTGCTCCTTGACGTCTGTGGAGCCCCTGGGGTGCTCTCCTTCCCGGCTCCTGGGAAGGGGCGCCCGGTCTGCTGCCTCGGCCGGCTGGCTTGTCTCCTTTCCCTCCCGAGCGGCGCGGCGATCACCAGCGCTCTGGAGGGAAGAAGAGTAAGCCCGGAGCGCACGTATGTGCTTGACAGCGCTCACGAGCTGGTCGTTGGCCAAAGCCCTGACCGCCGGGCAGAACCAGCGCCCTGTCAATTCGTGCCCCAGGGCTTCCCAGGCAGAACAGCCCACGCACCAAGTGTCAGTGCCCTCAGGTGGACACTGCTTGCACTTGGCGCAACTCATTACCTAACACCCTCAGCTTAAGCCTAAAAGCAAGTCAGCGTCAAATGTTACCCATCAATCACACAAGAAGTTCGAGGAACAATCTATAGATGATTATAGATGTGGCCACCAACTATGGCTCCAAATGAATGGATAAGCCATCCAGCTGAATCACATGCAGCTATGCTTTTCACCAAATAGAGGGAGCGTCTTCATTGGCGCAGGATTTGCTCCAGCGAGGACGGAAACAAGGTTTGTGAGAGACAGCAGGGGAACATGGGTGTAACATGGTGTAACGGATGGCTTCATCATGCAACCTGGGGCAAGGACCAGTGAGATCTAGAACCCTTTAGAAGCTTAGGAAGCGGTGGTATGTATGCTATGGAGCCGTGCGTGTGCAAAGATGTGCATTCTGGAATGAACTGGGAGCAGCATTTACATTCGAGCACACACACTCAAGCTGGCAAGTAGCGTTACCAATCCCTCTAGAATCGGACTGGGAATCTTGGCCAGTCGTATTTTTCAATGTCTGCGTCCTCTTGGTCACGCTTGGTTGCTATGGGTATTGGCTGACGCTTCAAGGCCCAATCAACATCCAAGATGTATCCACGGAACTGGTTGAACTTGGAGAGCGCATCCAGGCGCAAGTGTGTGCAAAGAGCATGAGTGGAGATGATCACCGCAGGATGGCAGATATCGACCCAGCTGTGAAGTTTCTCAGCTGGCTCTGCCACATCGAAGGCATTGTAGGCACACTTTTCAAGCATCACAGCATGGATAGAGGCAATGTTCTTCACTCCCCGCTCCAACACAATTGTCACCACGTGCTCATCTGCATGGCGCTCATGCGCACGAAGATCCAGCAATGGGTGAGAAGGCTCCAAACCCAAGAGAGCCTTGCGAAGTGCTCTTCGGATGCTAGCCACCATCAAGGCAAGCTGCTCAAAAGTGTATGCAGCTTCTTCGGTCTCTAGACACACAGACCTAGGCGTTGCTTGGGCTGCTGTTAGCAACAGTTCGCCCAGGTTTGTTTCCAAGCCCGCCATGACGCAGTGCTCGGTCAAAAATCAGACTCTTGAAGCTGCTCAAAAGGCTTCAAAGGAACACAGGCTTGTCAGGGTCTGTCACTTCCAACCACAAGTTTTCGATTTAAAGCAAAAGACATCAAAAGAATTCAAAAGACATTGAAATGCGCAAGAGTCAATGCTCCATGGCAGCCGTCTCGAAAATGATCAATGATGGCCTGCAGGTGGGACTCTGCCTCCGCTGCACTGATTTTGCAGCACAGAATTGAAAGAAAACATGACATGACAGGACATCCAAAATGAATCCACTTGAATATGCCATCACAATATGTTTTCGACAAATATCCAAATTCTTGCAGATCCTCAGTCTCGGACCAGATTTCAGGGCTCTTTCAGCTCAGCCTGCATGCCAAGTCTGTCCTGGACCGGGCCCACGGGCCCATGTGAAGCTGGCATCTGAATCACTGTGGTATCTGGTGCTGCTATTCGCATTTAGTCGACATGCACTTTTCGTAATTAGGAATTAGCATTCGCTATTAAGAACGGCTTTTCGTAATTAGACAATACACTGATGACGGTCCCTGCGATCACAACACAAACAAAGACCAGGAGAAAAACACAAAGAAACCAATGGCAGCGGTCACCCCTTTCCTGATCCGTCATGGCCCTGATCTTTGCAATCGTTGGAAGGAACTCTTGTGGCTCCTCAACGGTCTGTGCAGTAAAATTTCCATGGAAAGAGTTCTTGACTATTTTGACTAAATCCGGCAGGGCGGGAAAATCTGGCAGCGAAAGAGCCACAGCTGCCGAAACGAGGCTCAGCAGCTGGATTTTCATGGCGCCACATTCGAGGTTCGGATCTATTTCTATCTGCGGGCCGTTGAGCTTCCAAAGCTGGCCACAAAAAGCGCAGCGATGGCATGGGCCATGGATGTGCAAATTTCACGCAGTACAAGGTCATGAGGCTCAATGCTGTTTTGATTCATCAGAAACTTTGAGTTAGCCTCAGTTTGGAGATCACAGCCAATCTGCGAAAGAATGAGATGCTGCACAGCCTCTTTTCCGACCACACTGTGATTCTTCAGCGCTTGGCGCTCTCACTCTTTGGACCTTCAGGGCTTTCAAGGTCCGTGTGTATTCAATAACATGAATTTCAACTGCAGTGCTGTTCACTTGCAAAAATGCTTGGAAGCCGTGCTCTTGGCTGTTATCCAAAGAGCAGTCCATCGCTCGAAACGGCTCGAAAGGCGTTGATATGTTGATATGACATGTACCGTACACATACCCAACGAGACGACTGTGTAATTTCACTTTAGGCAGCCTGAACAATGTAAGATCGCAATTGGATGCTTGCACCAACCATTTGTTTATTGCATATGTTCAATGCTGCGGAATGGTTGCCTCAGACATTTTTTCCCAGAGCGGCAAATGTCTGAAGATCGGAATCATTTCCATGGCATGGCGAATCATACACCCCATGGCATGGCGATGAAGGGACGAGATCAGCCAGCAATGAATCAGTGTTTGTCAGAGATCAGAAGCCCGAGAGTAGGACAGGTAGATAATGATTGGATATATGATTGGTGAATGATGATTATTGTTATTTGATGTTATTTGAATGATGATGTCCACAGCGTCTTACTTTTCCTCGCGACGGCGCTGATTCTTCGGCGCTTGGCGCTGCTCTCGCTCTTTGGATCATCAGGGGCACCGGTCCCTCGATGTGGAACGTGAAAAGCCACGGGCTGCTGAACCCAACCATCTCTGAATCAGTGCCCCTCAAAGCTTTTCAACTATCTCCAATGTCTCTTCACGGGTACCACCGTACAACACCCTCCAAAATCTAGAGTGGATGTTAGTGGAAGTAGCTCTAAGTCCTGCTTGTTGTGGATTCTGACAGTTCTCTTCCAAATCGCACTCAACCGAAGTTGCTTCACCGTGCTCACACCTGAACCCTTCCAAGCATAGATTCTAAGAAATGGTCTATGCACAGTGCTTTCACTGTTTGTAATGTAGTCCTTGACGTCATGATACCTCCGCACCAACAGTCACTGTCACTGACTACAATTGCGTCATGGTTTCAAAATCTGGTTTGCCAGGTGACCAAGTGCTATTTCGAGCCACTAGAGTAATGTCAATACCGGGTAGAATTTCGCATCAACTTTCGTCAGTTTGAGCCGCCCTAGCCGCCCTAGCACGCCTGGGAGCCATGGACACTCCTGGGCTATGGGATTTCTGGATGTTTGGGGGAGATTGGGTGAAGAACCTCGAGCCTAACCTCTGAAGGAAGGGACTAATGAAGATAGGCACCTCATCGGTTTCATGCAAATGATCTACCACTACAGGAATCCAAATTGTTGATGATTGCAAAACCGAACAATGATCACTCCCCGATAGTGCGAATTCACCGAATCTCACCTGAATTGGTTGCTGGTTTCGTATTTAGACGCCACAAGCGGACATTCCAACCAGATTGTGATCTCTCAACTCTCTTTGCCACCTTCAAAACATAACCGATCAATACGGTCAAATAGGTAATGTTGATCCCATGCTTTGGGTATGGTTTCTGATGGGTTTACCATGGTTTACACCATCAAAAGGATGCAGTGCAGATGTGAACAATTGTTCAGCAAGTGTTACAACGCAACATCCGAATGTACCATGTTTCCATCAAAACATATCCAATGATTCCCCCTCCGGCAGCAAAACCGCACAGTTCCCCCTCCAGGCCAATGCTGGCACTCCTTTCGACGTGTCAGCCCGAGGTGCAAACCAAGGCAGAAACTCAGAAACTGTCCCATGCTCTGAATCTCACCAAAGGAAACTTGCGAAATTCTTGGAAAAGATACTGTATCCATTCAGAAGTGAGTTTTGTTTGGCGCAGTTTGGTGACACGGTAGAGGCTGTACATACTGAAACATCCTGAAACTGTCCGGCCCAGTGGTGCAAGTTTCAACCTTTCGCATCTATTGCACCACCTCTTTAGAGCCTAAAACGCTGCAGCGGAAAATTCAGAATGGTGCCAGCAATGAAGAGCAAAATCCTGTCCTGTCATGAGGTCGGGATATCATCCAGTCGGGGTCATTTCTTTGGTCATGAGTGCTCAATGTGCCAAGGAAAACCTCTCCACACACATTTATGAAGGCCGATGATTGGAGAAAAGAGTCAAGAAAATGCGCACCGATAGTAATTCGATACTTTTGATTTGACTTCGATGTGTTTCGCACGTCTGATTTGTGCTCAAGCAGAACTGCAACCCTTTGAAGCTGATGCCAGAGCTGCTACACTCAACAACTTTTTAGACTTGGCTGTATAAGTTTGATTCAACTGTATACTGAATTGTCAAATTGTACAATAGTTACAACTACCATTGTTATATTGACTTGGTTGGTGCATTGCATTCACACATTTCCAGCTCAATACATGGCTTCAAGTAAAGAGTTGACAAGTTCCAAGGGAAAGGTCGCGTCTCTTCCACTCAGTGGTCAGCAAGCCAAGCTATATAGTTGAGCATGGGCATCATTTCTTTCATACATGTACGAGGAACAGCTCTCCACTTGTAACATCGTTGGAACAGAAGCACCACCCGTCATTTGCCAGTGCCTTGGTGTCCCAAGATGTTGGGCCGTATTTTACGGGTGGATGGATTACAACCCTTCTACATACAGCACCCGGGCCTTCTGTGTCTATATTAGTGCGGGACCAGTCATCAATCATCAAGGATCTCCAAAATCATCAAAGTTCCCAATATTCCAGAGCCAGAGCTTGGGACTCCTTTTTATTATGAAGGTCTCGATTTCCCAGTCTCCACTTCAGTTCTGTGACAAAACCTGAAATCCCAAGCACTGATGCAAGTCTTGGGCACATAGAATACCTGTAGTCGTATGACGAATCGAAGGGATGCTTTTATCCAAATGCTCCATGCACACCAGCATTCCTCTGCCATGCCGAGCTTCAATTCTTTAAATCAGTTTCCTCGCCAGGGATACTACCAAACAAAATTCTAAGCCAAGCACAAGACATAAAATGTCATAAAATGAATAAAGAGTCAGAAAGGGTGCAACACTCTCACCATGCCTAGGCAAAACCATCATGATTTTATTTATGGCATGCTTCGGATTTGTGAAAGTCAACTGCAATGAACACAAGCAGCCATTCTCCCAGGATGCAGTCAAGCAACGATTGTTCGACGTCCAGTGGCCTGGAGATCCAGAAAAGATACGGTTGAGAACCTGATTGAACCCCTCCAATCCTGAAATATGCGCTAGCCCGCATTACGAATGTGGGTAACTTTGGACTCTACTCACCTTCTGGATTCAAAATCCAACATACAATCGCTGTGTGTGTGCTAGATGGGTTCCAAGATTTCGCCATGAACTGATTGAATTCTGTGGCACCAGATTGCTAGGATCAGCCAATGTAGCACCGGGTTGCAGCTACAAAAATATACACAAAAATGAACATATCTGGCTATCGGCCATGACAGTACCACACTCAGACATTAAAAGGAGAATCTGTCGCCAGAAAAACATGCAAAGACCAATAGCTGCTGGCAGAACGACATCTGTCATCATGTTGGGCATCAAACTCGCATCAAATCATGCTGAAGCAAAACATGGCACAACTGAGGCTCTGTTTTCTTGAAAACTATTGAACTAAAACTCTTCATGGCTTTTGTGGTGCTCACCTACGGTCTGGTAGAGATCTCTCACAGCTTCACAGGGAACGTTCTGCTTCTGCCAAGCTGCCGTGCCACCCCTCTCGTGTAGTCCAGCATTGCAGTGGCCAAGCCCTGGGATGGACACCGGACCAAGCAGAGTTCGCAAAAAACCGGCGCGGTTTTTTCATGTTGTTCAAAGCCTCAACAGTCCTCAATTGCTTTCAAGTCACTTCCTGTCTTCTCCGTTTCACTCCCTAGGTGCAGAGCCGACAGCAACTGTGCAACGTTCTTCAGGGAGTTTGACTAAACAAGAAGGGTCGTTTCGAAAGAGCTTTCTCTCTCAGTTGCCATACAAGTCGCTCACGCTGCAGTTTCATCGCTTTCTACTACAACTGGTTGGTATTGAATCATTTAAAAAGTAGGTAATCTATTGAGCATTTTTTAGCCATAGCCAAGCTGCCAGACGAGTTCAAAGTTGTCACCCCGCTCCTTTTTGATCTTCTCTGCCTCTTCAAGTGCCTGGCCGCCCGCACCCGAGCTAGGAGCTGATCTCCAAAGCCGTTTTTCACATTTTATACCTTGGAATAAATTAGATACTTCGTGAGGGCAGAACATGGCAGAACCAAGTGTTCACTTCAAATTTTGAATGAAGGAACATGAAGAAGCAACAGTTCGTCATCAAGACTTCAATGCACTGAAATAATACTATATAAATCTATATAATATGGTATACAATCCCACCCCTGTGTTCCAGTGCCCAATTCATCTCCTTTCCGGACGAAATCCGGCCTGACGGCCCAGGGCGCCGGAGTTGAACCAAGCTCCCCACAGACTGGATTTTGGAATGCTGAGATGAAGGGTCTTCAGACTTCGGTTCTGCTTCAGCCCGCTGGCCAAGGCCTGGAGCGAAATTCCCAACATCCGACTGCAAGGAACAGCCACCCATGCTGCCCTGCAATCTTAGCGTGACGTGAAGCTCATCCCCCTACACCAGTGGGCAGGCATTCAGCCGCAGGCGCCTCAGCTCCACGATCAGCAATCTTGTTGGAGTTGAGGTAAAGCTGCTCCAAACTTCCATTGCTCTTAAGGCTTTCAGCCAAGGCCTGGCCATCCCGGCGCCCCGGAACAGTCGGGATTGACCTCTCCCCATTTTGCAATCACCACGTGGGGAGGTGGATACAAGCGATCCCTGGGTTGTTTGTTCCACAACACATGAATCCGGTGGTGTACACTCGGTTCGCTCGGCGAGTGGCCAAAGCAGAGCTTCTGCGGTTGCTCAACCCACAGTTGCTGAACTGTAGAGTGGCACAGCCTCTGATTAAACCACTCCGGCTCGAATCTTTCCATTTTTCACATGCATCACAGGCGCAAAACAGTTTCGTTTGGAATTTAGATGAAATCTTACCTCTACCTCGTACCGAAAGCTGGTTTCGGTATTCAACACCTTGCCTTGCTCAAATCTTGGATTTAGATGAATTTTTGCACCTGGCCTTGTCATTTAAATTATCATTTGAATTCTCATTTAAGTTCTTCTTGTTCGCAATATCGCCAGGGGCAAGGGGGATAAATATAAAGCCTTTGCAGAGCTGACGTGCATGAGCTAAATCAAAATGCGCAAAAGCCTCCTGTGCCAAAGAACTATGTTTTCTGAATTCTGACCAGCTGCCTGGGTGGACTTAGAAGACCCAGGAAAAAGACAGAAGCCAATGATTTCAAACAAGAAAAGCTAGCTCAACCCTGCAAACCAGGCAAGGGGTAATCTGACGATTTTTCCGGGGCTGTTCCATGTTCATCATAGTCTCAAGATTCACAACAGTGGCTCTTGGCCTCCTAGCAAACCAACATAAAGGGGACGGAATCGCCATTTGGGCAGATCTTTCAAAGACGGAAAAGGACTGAAGTCAAACATGCGATAACCCAGAGAAAACATGAGAAAACACTCTGCTTTGTGCCACTCAGATTTACCACGCGCAACAATTGAATCTGGTTGAGCATGGCATTGTTTGGCTCTGTTTGACTGACTCTGCTCAAGCCACAGTTGCCGAACTGCAGAGTGGCACAGCTCTTGACGATACCTCTCCCTGCAAATGCCCCACAATCCTAAGACGTTTCAACCCTTTGTACTGCCTCTTCACATCTCACAACAAGTAGGAATGTGCTCAGCATCACTTGCCCACAGCATCTGCATAATTTCGAATAAATCTTGCCTCGTTTACCTCATACCGAAGCTCGCTTCAGTATTTGACACCTCGCCTCCTTAGCTAGAATTGTTTAGCACCTGGCCTTCTCATTTAAATTATCATTTAACTGCATTTAATTGCTCATTTAAGTTATGGATTAACTTCTTCATATTCACACTGTCGCCAAAGATCATCCTTCTTACCACATCTCCAACAAAGTGCAGAAACCCAAACCGTCGCTCATCCCCCCCACACCAGTGGGCAGGCATTCACCCCCCGCCTCAGCCCCGCGATCGCCGATGTTGTTCCAGCCGAGCAACAGACATTTCAAATTTCTGTTGCTCTTAAGGCTTTCAGCCAGGGCCTGGCCGTCTCGGTGGCGCGGGGCATGGGGATTGACAGGATTGACACCTCTCCCCACCTCCCAAAGCACAGAAACACATCGGGGGAAATCTACCAATTGGATGGAATCACCAAGTGGGAGGGATTGACAACTTGTCAAGACCACTGTTCTGCCGCCACTCAATCTTTTGTTGGGGCAGTTCCAGATGCATCATATTCTCACTTTCAAGATTCGGCTCATTTCGGCTCCTCAAGAACTGGTGCAGAAATCTTCATCAAGGCCCTCACAACTGCACAGAGTTGCAGCAGAAGTGCCTCAGCACCCTGGTCCCCGATCTCGTTGTCGTGAAGGTAAAGGGTCTCCGTTGCGCTGCTTTTCAGAGCCTCTGCCACAACCTGCGGCAGCTCCCACATGCCCCGGTTGCAGAAGATCTTCCAACGGGTCCCAGATCTGATCTGATGTTTTCACTCATTCCATGTTGAAAGGATATATGCCAATCATTTCCTGCTATAGCCATGTATTTCCTCACAAATACAAATACTGAGACTTTGGACATCTCCCACAATAGACCCATCTTTCTCGATGGAACATTTCAGCCCTCGTATAAAAGTAATTGCACTTGTGGGACATGAGCGACGCGCCTTTTAAGCACCTAGATAGCTGGTGAGATACGTCAAAAAGGCGGTGGCACGAGGCACATGATTGCAATAGGATTTGAAAATATTTGAAAAGGGCCAATGCATAGACTTTGCCTTCGCACACTGGTTCACAGCATAGTTTAGATGATATTCACTTTCCAAGCACCCCACCCATGATGTTATTGAGCGTCTAATATAGCACCGACCGGAAGGCAAGATCAGCGAAACGGCGAATATGTCATTCGATCGAAATCACCGAGATGGGATGTGAAACCGCAAGTAGGCCCGCAGACTCCAACATAGCACCTTGGCGCTGGAATTTCCCATCTTCCGGTCTCGGAGATTGCAGTAAGCCTTCAAAGGCCCCACAAAAGGCTGAGCTCGTGAGATGTTCGGACTCGCACCAACACATCAACTCACTGGCAGCCCCCCGGCCTGCCCTGCAAACAGAGCTGCCATGTGCTGTAACATCTCGAGCTCGTTACCCCCAAGCTCGTCCAGATCCTGCGCGATGGGATCTGAGCAAAGTTGCAAACACCTGAAGGATCCTGAAAGCAGGTGCAGATATGTTCAAGGGGCCCTTGTTGACCTGTGGCCTTGGACTTCCAGTCGTTGGGATTACTGAATCAAACATGCGCAGCAAGCCTAAAAATTACTTTCTGACATAGTTTCTGACATACCATCTGGAAGTATATATGGCATATTCTGACATTCTCTCTTGCATATACTCTGACATTCTATCTGGCATTCTTTCTGGCATAAATTCGGACATTTTATCTGACATACTTTCTGGCATATATTCCGACATTCTATCTGGCATTCTATCTGACTTATGCTCTGACATTCTCTCGGGCATGTGTTCGGGTCCATGCATGGCCCACTGCATCCGGAGCTCACGATATAGAGTTCCGGTCCATTGCTGCCCACTAGCGACGAGCTGGCAGAGGAGGAGACGAGGAGGAGGAGGAGGAGAAGAAGAAGGATGAGTTGCACCGTTGCACCTTTGTTAAAATTTAGAGACCCTCACCTGGCAGGTGGGGAAAAAAGAAACGATGGTAAGTTTGCCTGCCACTATGAAGGGTTGCCCAACTGATTGAACAGCTCAAATCCATATTCAAAGCAATGCAAGAGCCATAGAATCCCAACATGCACAATGATTCCTGTGTCTCAGTTCCAAGATTCCAGAAATTCTGGGTGTCCCACCGACATTGAGTCCTTCAGCTCTTCGCTCATGAAGCCGCAGCGCTTTGCTACACCCAGAAAGAAGGTCAAGTGCGGCAGGAACAGCCCGAAAAGCTGCATGTCCTCCATGATTTCCGCCTGCACATGGGACCAAAAGAATGTGAGATGGACATGACACGGAGTGTTGCTGGTGCTGAGATGCGCTGAGCATAGAATTTTGACGCCATTATTGTCAAGGGTTGGTTTGTTGTGCGAATTTCTCGCTAGTTCTGCCATCAAACCTGTTGTCCATTAGATGTGCTGCGCGACCTGCTCAGGCATGTGAGGTTGGGAGCAAGGGCTCTGGTGTAGCACAACGCAGCTGGTTGCAGCTTCGACTGTCGAATTGAACATCATGTTGTGTGAAATTCGTTGTATACAGCATACAGCTTGCTAGATAGCTGGTAACAGCTCTGCATTTGCAGTCGTAGCACAGCTGGTAAGCAAGAGAATGATTCGTGTTGGCAGGGCCCAATTGCATCCAATGAACATGTAGCAACCAACTGCATGCGAACTTTATGGCTCTTGGGGTATTCAGAAGCTGGGTGGGGTGAGCACGGTACAGCACATGCCCTTGCTGGACACAGTGTGTATTCAAAATCAATCAAATTGAATCAAAGTCATTCACATACACTGCCCTTGTTGACGTCACTCCTTTTGTTGGGTTAATTATGTGAAAAACTTTGGAGAGCATGCCGCTGGTTTCACCTGTTCTGGCTCACATATACTGAGTCTGCATTGCATCCGCAAATTCTAGACTGCTGCATCAACTAACATTCGATGCAGTAGCATTCGACTGGACATTTCCTGAAAGACCCGTTGACCTGGCCTCTTCCCACAGAGCTTTGGCTGCCACGGCGTTGCCACTTTTCATGGCTCTGTTGAGCCTCTTCCCCAGCGCGGGGATTGCAGCTGTGCGCACCGGCTCAAACAATAATTCGGCCAGAGCAATCTGTACTATGGGCACCACTAAATTGAAGGCAGCGACAAAAAAGGATCCGCCTTCGACGGCCAAAAAAAGGACAGACATCAGTGCCTGGGGCACATTCTCAATGAGCAAGTGGTGCCGCTTGCTCTTTGTCACTTGTCCGTAAATTGCGGGGAGGATGGTCCCTTCCCAACAACTTCCAGACCACTCACCCTGGACCTTTGGTGCGATTAGCAAAACTGCGAGGTGGCTTGCGGCCAGCTCGTTAAAACAGTTTGCACCTGGTGCTTGTGGATTTGAGTCTACATATTCTCCATCCCCTCCTCGTTGATCAAACGAGTACCATACCTTACCATAGCCAGTCTGAGAGGAGATGATCGTATACCGAACGGAGCGAATTGCAACATAGAAGAAACAAGCGTGGAAGGCTAGTAGGTACGACCAGCTCAGCACACCCACAATCTTCATGAAAAGGTGCTGTGACTGCAAGCAAAGCCCTCCAAAAATGATATCTCTCAAAGTGTCAAACTGGTCAGACAAAAATGGTGCCATGGAGGAAAATGAAGCCATGGCAAAAGCTGTGGCATCAAAGCGGTCGCCCGCTTTGAGCCAGGTCACCGCCAGCACAGCTTGGATGAGAAGGGAGGCACCGGCACAACAAAACAGAAACAAATAAACTTCCCAGTCCAATCCGAATGTCTTGGACAGCCTTCCAGTCTGGAGGCTCCAAAGGCATGCAGCGAAGCTCAACAATACTGTGCCGCCAAAGCTCAACATGACCAGCCGTAGTTGAGACTCTTTGCTTAGTGGGGTGGTGTGACCCAGAACCTGGTAGGAGCTGAATGCTTTTAATTCAGCTCCCACGAACATGATGACGCTCCCTGAAAAAACAACACAAACAAAAACCAGGAGAAAAACGCAAACGAACCAATGGAAGCGTTCTGCCCTTTCCTGATCCGTCATGGCTCTGATCTGTGCTATGGTTGGAAGGAACTCTTGTGGCTCCTCAACAGTCTGAGCAGTAAAATTTCCATGCACTGCATTGTCTGCAATTCCAACCAAATCTGGCAGGTTGGGAATTTCTGGAAGACTGAGACCAAATGCAGCGCAGATCAGGGTCAGCAGCTGGATTTTCATGGCGCCACGTCAAAGGTCCAAAATTTGTGTCTATCCGTGCGCCCTTGAGCTTCCAAAACTGGCCACACGAAGTGCAGGCATGCGGCATGCGCCATGGGTGTGTCAATTTCACGCGGGAGGAGGTGGCGAGGCTCAAAGCTGTTTCGATTTGGCAGAGACTTTGAATTCGCCTCCGAGTTTGGAGATCACAGCCAACAAATCTGCGAAAGAATGAGATGCTGTCATACTTTTCCAAGCGACCACACGGTGATTCTTCAGCGCTTGGCGCCCTCACTCTTTGGATCTTCGGGGCTTTCAAGGTCCATATGTATTGAATAACATGAAAGGACAACAGCAGTGCTGTTCACTTGCCGAAATGCTTGGAAGCCATGCTCTTGGTTGTTGTCTAAAGTTCTGCAGGGCCACTGTTTAGTCGTCTTTGAATCGTTCAGTCATTACGGAGCCCTCAAAGTTTTTCAATGACCTTCACACAACTCCATGAAACAAAATAGAGTGGAAGTCAATGCAAGTAGATCTGAGTCCTGCTTATTGAGGATTCTGAAGGTTTTCTTGATCGCACTCAACATTACTCAACCTGAATTATGTCAATATTTTCAAACCTGCAACTTTCCAAGCATCGCTATGTACAGAATCCATGGAAGGCTGCACGCTGCTCTCAAGGTTCGTGATGTCTTGGAGGTCATGGCAACCCCGTGACAGCCCCCAGCAGTCCAGCGAATCTTCCTGCGGACGGTTCGGAAAATACGTATGCCAAGTGCCTACCTAACTGAAATTTTGGACCATTCAATGGCCATTGACAGTACGGATATGGCACACATACTTTCTTCAGCTCACTTACACAGGCAGAACACCTCAGCCATCCTCAGCCTGTTTGCAGATCCCATCCCGTTGCCACGCCTGGCAGCATGGGATGCCAAGCCGAGCCAAAAAAGGCCAGTGCCTAGGCCATGGGACGGCACACCGAATTCTGTCCAACTTGGCCCAGTGTTTGGAAGGAACTAACGGATACTTTAAACAGATCGGCATCGCCCAAGTTCTATGGCACCTTCAAACGCCACAGTGACTCTTGTACCTGGTGAAATTGTCAGCTGTTGCCAAACAATATCCAACTGCACCGTGTTCCGTCAAGCATATCCATGAATCGACCTAAATGGGGGAGTTTCCATTGTCATGTTCAATTGCCAGAGACTCACGGGTGCCATTCTACACCATGACTTCGTATTGAAACACCCATGGTGACTTAGGGATCCTCCATTTTAAGAAACCCCCATATCTGAATCGCCTTCATATCTTCCCAAATGAAAAAAATACGCCAAGAAGCGCTCCAGACTGCGCTCATTTGTTTTTGCCAGAGAAGCAGGGAACTCAAATGACGCGCTTAAACCCTGTCAGGTGTTCGATCCCCCAGAAGCACGCTACAGTTGACCAGAAAAGTGGTGTCAATCTCTGGGGAACCCGTAGGTTCAGTCTCACCAACCACCATGTACCCAATTCCTTTCCTACCAAGCCTACATGCTTGGAGATTAGAAATTTTGCTCTGTTGCAGTAGCTTTCTCGCACCAACCCGTAACCCATAGGCTCATCTGCGCCCACCAAGGGCTGAAGACCGGCTGAAGATAGTGTTTATGCAAGACCTGCAGGAGGTTTGTCCGTTATGTCTCTGTCCAACTTGTAGAATTTCACTGCATCTTTGCAATAAAATGGGATTGCCACCATGCCAAGTTCGAATAAAAACGCGCAATCCTATTCCAGCAGCACCGTTCATTTGACATTCCGCTTTAAAAGTTGCCTTCGAACGGTTAAAGTGTCGGGACGTAAACTCCTGAGTCCAGCGTTTGTCAGCCAGAGAGCTCAAGAACTTTTCTGCACTATACAGGTTCCAGGCTAAAGTGTGTCCAATTAAAAACCAAGCACCTGAACCCATCTATCGGGTGTACAAAGTGCAAAGTTCCAAAAAAAGATGTGCACTCCTATACGCAACCCGCGCAACCGTGCACAATTGCCGCTTTAAACGTTCCGCTTCAAACGGTTAAAGTGTCGGGACGTGAAAACTCGTGAGTCCAGCGCTTGTCAGCCAGAGAGCTCACGAACTTTTCTGCACTATACAGGTTCCAGACTAAAGTCTGTCTACATGATTGAACCAAGCACCTGAACCCATCTATTGGGTGTACAAAATGCAAAGTTCCAAAAAAAGAAATGCACACTCCTATACGCCACCCGCTGTGCCGCTCACAATTCCACTTCAAACGTTCCACGTCAAACGATTGAAGTGTCGGGATGTCAAAGCTCCTGGCACCTGCGCCCAGGGCTATGGTTTGAATGCACACACTTCCACTGCAGGTGCGCCCTGATAGACTCTGTTCGCTTCAAGGTTGCTGCCCTTCCAAGTGACACTTGATGGTCGTAGCACGGCTCCCTCACCGACGTCACTCCTGGCAACCTTGGCTGCTGCCATGATCCTTGCTCCGTTGCCAATCTTGACCGGAGAAAACTTCAACTGACGGTCCTCGAAAGAGTGGCACCTGATGTCTGCATCATAGTCTACGATCACATCATCTCCGATTGAGATGAAAGGTGCATCAATCAGGGCAATGTCATGCACGCAGAAGAAGCGCTTCCCAATCCGAGCACCTCGCAGCCGGAAGTGATTTGCATGCCAGCAGCTTCCCACCGTACGAAAGGGCGAAGTGAAAATATGTTTTTGGAGCATGATAGATGTGAACCACCGCGTGACTGTCGTGGAGTGGTAAGCACTGCTGGTTGGGGTAGTTTCATTGTACAAGAGCCTGCCAAAGATCACAGAAAAGACGAGCCAGGATGTGACGTTCATAATGAGGTATATGAGCATCACCATGAATAGGACTCCAAGAACCGAAGTGTTTGTGGTTGCAGGGAAGCTGTACCTGCTCATCACAAATGAAGCTGAAAGCACCATGCCCTTCAAGCCCCGGAGGATGAAGATGTCAATCACACTGGTTCTGAAGTGAAACCAGCAAAAAGCTGGTAGACTCGTCGCTTCCTGTGGGCCGTCCTTGCTGGGGCGTTTGAAGATCATCGCCGGAGTTCCAAAGTAGCCCAAATTTGTCTGCTGTGGCCTTTTTGGTAGCGATGTATTGAGACCACAGAAGCTGCCCTCTGGCAGGCCCGCAGGCAAGCAGTTGTCGTTCCCCACAAAGCTGTGGTCACCTTGATACCCAAGAATTTCATCAAATTTGGACAGGTACTGTACTGTAACCATCTGTAACCCTATTCATGGAGGTTGGACATGAATCACAATCGAAACCAAACTGAATGTGATGAGGGTGATGACGTTGGTGATGACGAACACGATGATAGTGATGACTATGTTTTAACAATGATGAGGATGATGCGAGGATAATAACGATAATTGGTGATGAGGGTGATGAGAGTGAGGATGAGACACCTTGAAGGGAGTTAGTTGCTGGACTCTCGATTGGTTCCTGCCACTGTCGCACAGGGGCCGTCCACCACAAGGGTGACTGGAATCTCTGGCCAATCAGACAAAACCTTGGTGTAGATGTCTTTGCCTTTCGACATCGGTGGACAGTGACGATGAGAGTGAGGATGAGAGTGAGGGTGATTAGGAGGATGAGAAGACGTATGTAAAACGATTTTCTTGGGGGGGCTGGTCTTTACAAACAACCCATCGCACGTGCTTTTTCAGGAAAATAACAAATAGGACGCTCGCTCCCAGAAAACGTATCAACGTCAAGTGACCAAGGTTTGTAACGCAAGGAACTCTGAAGTGACCCTGGTCCACCGTCGCGCTGGTGAGGATGTTCCGGGAAGCAATGAAACAACCATTTCCCACCTCCAATGTGTCAGGCAGCACGACTTCTTCGGCTATGGCAACTCCTCGCTCCAAAACGAGCACCACACATACGCATGAAGACTGGCACTATCGAAGCATCTCTCAGCAAGTTGGAGGCCTGGTTGGCCCACCGCATCTTCAGGGAGACCATCTGGCCCCGGATGCTGGTCAGCAAGTAGCTACAGGGTGGCTTTACTCTGGGAAGCAGCCGGCAAATCAAAACGGTCAAAAGCAGCTGCAGAGCCAGAATCAGCACAGTAAAAGCAAAGCTCCAAAGTGGAAGCTGTGGCAAGAATCTGAGGACACCTTCGGGCAAGGAATCGAAGCGTTCCAATTCCTTCTCTGAATCTTCTGGGTACTCTAGCTTCGCCTCGAGCTGAAAGATCATGATGATGATGAAAGGCATCAGGGCCTGCGGCACCACCATGAGCCAGTAAGTGGAGGCCATGAGGGCTGCATTTCTGCAGAACTGGCGCACGTCTGCATCCAAAGGAATGCTTCGGGGGTTTGCCACACCTGCATCGCAATTCACGACCTGAGCTGGAACGCCAGAAACTCGGCTTGACACTTTGGAGCCAGCAGGAACCATGGACAAGGCTTCCACGTGGGCTGCTGCAGCAACGGAACACCCTGGCTCCAGAACAGCGTTAGCGCCAACAAAAGCGCCTTGGCCAACTGAAATGGATTTCAACACCATCTTCCCCTCTCCATAGTTCACAGCAGTAAGGTGCTTCAAGCCATTCACTGTGGCCAAATGGCCCACCGAAACAAGATCGAAAGCCACAACACGTGTGAAGATCATAGAGGTCAGTGCCACATCCGCAGAAAGTGGTGGGCCACGCTGGTTCCTGGAGGTGTTGCGGTACCAATGATGGTGCCCTCTGCAATACGCTCCACCAGCCAATGCCGCAAGTAAAACAAACTGTAAATGTCATGTTTTGCCTCCCTGTACCGTCCAATGAGCACCCACTTAGCAGCCAACAAAAGAATGACTCGAAGGATCTTCTCACAAATGATGACGGCCCAGAGCAGCAAAAAGGTTTGCCACAAAGGTATGGCAAAGGTCAGTGGCAACAAGACCCGTTCTGCCAACATCATTCGAGTTGCCATAAGCACAGGCTCTAGCAGAATGATGCTTCCCTGCACCCAAGCACAAAAATTTGGCCAACTCTTCTCACCAAAGCTGTGAGTGGCCGCTGCTCCCAAAAGGCCTGGAAACAGCGACGAAGCTGTCATCATGTCGCGGGTTCGGCAAACAAGGGAGTCCCTCGCGGCACTCGCTTGACCCGCTGTCACTACAAGGCACCTTTTCTGACCAACAAGCACAGGCAACGACGTGAAAGCCTCGCTTGCTTAATGGCCCAAACACATAAATCTTCTCCTGTATTTTGAAGCCTGGATGTTAAAAGTTGGGAACAAACCAAAATCTCAATCCTGAAAATGTTGAAAGAATGGCTCAACCAAGGGACCTCTCCATTCAGGCCTGACTCGTTGCAAAGCAATGTCTCTACGCTGTCTCTGTCCACCAAAGCTCCACCACTCATGAGGATCTTCAGCACTGCGAGGTGTGCCGTCGCAGGCAGCGAAGCCGCTCGCGCTCGCTGGAGCTCGGGCCAGGCATCCAACAGCTCCAGAATCGCACGATGCGAAGCCGTCAGAACTGTCAGAGCTGTCTGGCCTCCAGAAACACTTTCATCATGTCCTTCCAGATCTTCATGTACATACTGAAAGCAAACATCATCTGGATCTATGGCCGGCAACTTCACACGAACTTGCAATGGTAAGGAAGCACTGCTCACATCGATGCACTGCAATTCCTGAACTTCGTAGCAAATTTCTTGTAGTCGTGCCCAAACAACATCCTTGGAGCTTGCCAATATGCACTGAGCGTCAAAGGCTTGCAACTGGTCAGCAAACCCATGGCCTTCATCCAGGACGCAAAAGGCATGACCCTCCATGAGCACTGCCAGCATTGCAGCCATTCGCTCGGTCATCATGTCCACGCAAATGGCCACTGGTGTTTTCTTGCAATTCGTGGTGGTCCTATTTCTGCGCAGCAGTTGCCGAAAAGCTGTGGCCAAGCGAAAGAGTTGCGTATAGCTGAGACAGGAGGATGGCAATTCGCAGCAAATGCTGTGTGGCTTGGTCTGCACACTTTTCCAAACGGCACTGACTAAGTTCTGCCCTGTCTGCTCCCCATCAAAGGGCTCTTCTTCTGGATCGGACTCAGGCTCAGACAAGAATGAGGCCAGCGTGCTGACTGTGGGATGATTGAAAAGCGCACGCAGATCCACTTTCTGCAGCCTGGGTTTGCTTCGCATCTGTCCCAAGAGCTGCCCCATGCCGGCAGAATCGATTCCCAGGTCATCCACAAAATGTGAATTTCGGTCCCAATACTCAGCACCTCTCACTTGCAATGCTACACACGCCGCAATCTCCAGTTCAAGAGCACTTGCACCAACTCGGTGGAAAGAGTCCAAAGCATCCCAGCCATCGTTGTCACTCCATGGAACCACATTTCGCAGGAGCTTGCCACCGCTACTGAACTTCCAAGCGCTGTCCTCAACCAGCTTCACTTGACTGAGGACATAGCCACGACCCAAGGACATAGCTTTGGCTTTCAGCTCAGCCTCAAGGAAGGAACCAGAACCAGATGCCAAGAGTACGAGGCGACCATCCAACAGCCGAGCCTCACAATGTTTCACAGTCCCCAAGTCCATGATGGCAGCCTCCAAGGCCTCCAACTCGATCCGAAGGCCACGCACCTTCACCTGTGAGTTTTGTTCGAAAAGTTTCCAAAGATTGTCGGGATCAACCTTGTTAACCTATGTTAACCTGACTTACTGACTTAGGTTAACAATGCCTGCAAGATGTATTGAAAAAAACACCTGACAGATTCCACGAAACCGAATGCACCCTTTCAATGGGCGCATTAGGTGCAGAACACTCTTGAAAGACACTCTTGAGGAAGAAGACGCTCTTGTGGGACACTCGTGAAAGACACTATTGAAACACAAACTGGTGAGACACTCTTCCAAGCAAGCACCCTTGCTAGATGCTCTTGCAAGACACTCTTCGAAGATACTCTTGCAAGACACTCTTGCAAGAGATTCTAGCGACATTCCGCACTGTCAACATGACACGTTTTGCAGCACTTCCCATATAGGAACAGCGAGGGGTCGACTAGTGACATCTAGTGACTAGAGACCCGCGAGGGAACAAGACACTACCCCCAGACCCCAAGCAAGAAAACGAGAACCCTTCGGACCCTTCGCTACGCATTTGGGAAAGAAAAGAGAAACAAGATGAAACAAGCTGCTTTTCCACACCTGGGAATCCACCCGGCCACGAAAATGCAAGCGGTTTTCGTCGTCTTTGAACGCCAGATCTCCTGTGTTGAAGAGTCGGCCAAGTTCAGGGAGTTCAATGAACTTCTGATTGGTCTGCCCTTCTTCACCAAGATAGCCACGAGCCAAGCCTACACCACCCACGAAAAGGACGCCAACCTCCCCAACAGCCTTCATTGCAAAGGTGTTGGGGTCCAAAATGTGGCACTGATAGCCGGGCAAAGCGAGGCCAAGAGTAATGGGGTCACCCAGCCGCACGTCAATGCCTGTGCAAACCACTGAAATCTCTGTTGGCCCATAGCTGTTGAACAGGAGACGGCCAGGAGCCCAAGTCGAGACCACATCTGCACCCAAAGCCTCGCCACCCACATCGACAATGCGGAGCTGTGGGAGATTGACGTCCATTGACACATCGCTACCGCCAGCAACAGGTACCATGGTGCGCAAGTGTGATGGGACCGCACTGATGCCTGTGACCTGCTTATGTCTCAGCCACAGAAGCATGTCCGGACCAGACTGCTTTACCAGGTCGGGACAGGTGATACTTGTCGCCCCAACAGCCATTGCACCATAGATCTCTATGACGTGAACATCCCAGGACATCGAGGAAATCTGTGCAAAGCGATCCGAGTTGCACAGTCCAATGGCTGCACTCCACACGCGCGCCACGTTCAAGGCCGAGGCATGTCGAATCATCACGGCCTTCGGCTTGCCAGTACTGCCGCTGGTGAAAATCAGGTATGCCAGCCGGTCGAGGTCCTGCCGGAATTTCCACATAGAACAGTGGCTCTGAAGTATGCGCGGGAAATCACATGGGCATTCCGATAAGAGAGGGCATGGGATCATGGACTAGCTGCATGAAAACCAGCAACCACGTGTCACTTCCACAATTGGCTGACAGGTGTTGAGACTATTGCTACAGAAAGAATAAGTCTTTTTTATCGTTAACAGCGGATCTTTGCACTGCTACGAATTGAAAAAAAGAAGTCTTCTAGGAACGTCCCTCAAGACAAGTCCTACCATCGTTTCCGTTTTTTTGCGCTGCCTTGGCAGAAATCATTGCTGGGAAATTTGCTGTCAAAGGTTCCTGCTCGCCAAAGCTCACACATATGGAAAAAACACAGTTGACAGGTCCTTCCTTGCCCAAAAAAACAATACAAAAAAAATGCAAGACTCGATCTTTTGGGGTTCCTCATCCAACCAAAGACATGTGAAACATATGTTTTTCGGCATTCTTGAAACGATACTCGGCCAAAAGACCTCTGATGAGTTTGTTGGTTTGGCAAAGCGCGGAAAAAGGGCCCCTGTGAAAACAATGCGGGCATATGCGGGCTCTTTTCTGAAAGGCCAATTTGCAGGAGACGTTGCTTGCTCAATGAGATCTTACTCTTACTGGAATTCAAAATTCAATGTTTCTTGTCTAAACTCTAAACTAAATATTTCGTTCCTCAGTGAAGCTGGTTTACCATGCAAAGTAAAGCTATAGTACCCAAGAACAGAAGTTGGCAACGCACCAAGTTTCTTGCTAAGATTAATGTCCTTGTTCAAAACCTTCTCGCCTGGGTATTTGGTCAAAGTGCTCTTGCTTGGAGTTGGCAAGTATTTTTTGGTTAAACTACTGATTTCCTCCAGGAAATTGTTTTGCGGCGGAGGAGGAGGAGCAAGAGGAGGGCAGGGCACATCTAAGGTCTGCCATTTGTTGCAACCGTTCTTTGTAGAAATTACTACTTCACTGATTTGCCTTCAGATCCGAGGAATCACAACGAAAGGGTCTTTTTTGATACAAGTATATAGTCAAGTGAGGTCAAGTGGTTGTCCTTAAACGATTTAAAGGACATTGAATCTTATTCTGTCGCAATTCTTTTGAAGAAACTTCTCCGGAAATCATGCATGGCTCCCATTGCTTCTGAATCGACCCCGTGGCGAAAAAACTGGGAACCTTTCTGATTGCTGGGGCTGAGCAACACAGGGAAGGGACGCTTTGCAGACAAGAGCACTGACGTGAAAAACCAACAGCTGGATAAGTAATATATATAGATGATTATAGATGTGGCCACCAACTATGGCTCCAAATGAATGGATAAGCCATCCAGCTGAATCACATGCAGCTATGCTTTTCACCAAATAGAGGGAGCGTCTTCATTGGCGCAGGATTTGCTCCAGCGAGGACGGAAACAAGGTTTGTGAGAGACAGCAGGGGAACATGGGTGTAACATGGTGTAACGGATGGCTTCATCATGCAACCTGGGGCAAGGACCAGTGAGATCTAGAACCCTTTAGAAGCTTAGGAAGCGGTGGTATGTATGCTATGGAGCCGTGCGTGTGCAAAGATGTGCATTCTGGAATGAACTGGGAGTAGCAATTACATTAGAGCACACAAACTCAAGCTGGTAAGTAGTGTTACCAATCCCTCTAGAATCGGACTGAGAATCTTGGCCAGTCGTATTTTTCAATGTCTGCATCCTCTTGGTCACGCTTGGCTGCTATGGGTATTGGCTGACGCTTCAAGGCCCAATCAACATCCAAGATGTATCGACGGAACTGGTTGAACTTGGAGAGAGCATCCAGGCGCAAGTGTGTGCAAAGAGCATGAGTGGAGATGATCACCGCAGGATGGCAGATATCGACCCAGCTGTGAAGTTTCTCAGCTGGCTCTGCCACGTCGAAGGCATTGTAGGCGCACTTTTCAAGCATCACAGCATGGATAGAGGCAATGTTCTTCACTCCCCGCTCCAACACAATTGTCACCACGTGCTCATCTGCATGGCGCTCATGCGCACAAAGATCCAGCAATCCTGGGTGAACGGGCTCCAAACCCAAAAGAGCCTTGCGAAGTGCTCTTCGGATGCTAGCCACCATCAAGGCAAGCTGCTCAAAAGTGTATGCAGCTTTTTCGGTCTCTAGACACACAGACCTAGGCGTTGCTTGGGCTGCTGTCAGCAACAGTTCGCCCAGGTTTGTTTCAAAGCCCGCCATGACGCAGTGCTCGATCAAAAATCAGACTCTTGAAGCTGCTCAAAAGGCTTCAAAGGAACACAGGCTTGTCAGGGTCTGTCACTTCCAACCACAAGTTTTCGATTTAAAGCAAAAGACATCAAAAGACATTGAAATGCGCAAGAGTCAATGCTCCATGGCAGCCGTCTCGAAAATGATCAATGATGGCCTGCAGGTGGGACTCTGCCTCCGCTGCACTGATTTTGCAGCACAGAATTTAAAGAAAACATGACATGACAGGACATCCAAAATGAATCCACTTGAATATGATATGCCATCACAATGTGTTTTCGACAAATATCCAAATTCTTGCAGATCCTCAGCCTCGGACCAAATTTTCAGGAATTCCTCTTTTAGCTCAGCCTGCATGCCGAGTCTGTCCTGGACCAGGGCGCCACTAAGGGGCCCATGGGCCCACGCGAAGCCGGCATCTGGTTCCGCAACAGTTTGAGGCAATCTGAGAGATGCACAAAGCGAGGCAGGTCGTTGAAAGCCTTGTGCCCTGCAAGTCTTAACCTGATGCAGGTTCAACTTGGCAGAACTTCAGCAGATGATGGGCTAAAAAACGAAGGCAGTTCACACATGTTCACACAAGATTCAAGGATGCAACGTATGTGGTCGCTCCTTCGAACCAAATGTTACTGTTGTTGTTCCCAACCAACTTCTGAGCTCAGACTGGAAGTGAAAGCTCAATCAGGGCTCGAGACAGATCAGCTGTGCATTTGTTAGACGTTTCGAGACTGTGGAACCGTGCAGCCAACAAACAGTGAGCGTAACCCAAAGTGTAGTTTTCAGGACGACCCTGTGCGAGCTGTGGGTGTGCGCTTGCGTGCACACAAGTGCGTGCTCAATGTATGGCCACGTGTCGAGTTTCCTAACCTTGCGACATCTATAGATCTATCTCACATGAGTTTCGGGTGTCTTTATCTGCTTGTCTTCGTCTGTGTCGCGCTCTCTCTCTCTCTCTCTGTGTGTGTGTGTATGTTTGCGTGTGTTTTTTCAGTCTCTTTGATGATTTACACCTCTGCACACTTGTGCCATGAGCGAAGAATGCCCCCAGTTCGTGTGCAGCGTGTCACCCAGTCTCAACGTCAATCTTTACAATCTTTTGCAGAGCCCAAAAAAATGACAGAGCCTTGGCTGCGCCCTTCCATTCGGAATGTCAGGGAGATCGTCTCTGGGAAAGAGGGCAACCTCAGTGACCCACCAAATGAGGCACCTTATCAACTCCCAATTGTCTCTACATGTCTCTACTAATTGCTACTGTAGGCACAGGGCTTTAGAGGCTGGTAGCAGGATGGATTGATGCCCGTACCACTCGAAGGTGCGTATTGTCTATTCACACCTTCATGGGAAAAGCATGCGCAGCTGACATATCGGCCTTGTAGAGGGCTTGCTACGTAAGACATGTCGCTAGGTGACAGGGGAAAATGGGAAAATGCTGACATACAGACTTGAGTAATCTTGAGTATTTGTATGAGACTTAGGAAATTCGAAAGCCATGCAAACTGCATCTGCTTTGTCTGCTCAAAGTCAATGTATCGCAGGGCCTACCTTGTTCAGAGCCAGCCTCGCCTGCTGTCTTATCAGTGCTACTAGGCTATTGAGCCTGTTTCTCCTCAGTAAAGCCCGTAGTGGCATGTCAAGATTTACGCAGGTAGGGGATAGAAGATGGCGTTGCTGGCAAGGGGAATGGTGCAGCTGTGCTTCCTTCAACTCTGAGCACCTCACCCTTGGCCATTGTGTGGGGTCTGGCCTGAAAGCATGTGAGATAGGACCAGTATGGACCAGTTGCGTTAAGTTATAAAACTATTTTGGTAGTTTCCTATCTCATCAGCCCTTGCTGGTGTCACGAAACATGAGATGTTGATCGTTTATGAATTTGTTTTTAAGACCTGCATTCAGGTCTGAGAGTGGGTCCAGCGCGCATGAGTTGGGAGTTTGGGCAAAACAATGCACTGATACTCCAACCAACGCCCCATAAGCGCTTCAAACCGTGGGCACATGCGATAGGACTGGTCCCCTGAGAGAGCTACATCTCATAAGAGGCGACAAGTCCTATCTCATCAGTACCTCAATATAAATGATGGGTTTTCCCTTGTCATATTCGATTACCAGAAGGTCATGCGCCGTCGTTGTATAGCCCTAGCAGGCCTGGGAGCCATAGTCCTGGAGGGCCATGGGATTTCTGGATGTTTGGGTGAGATTGGATGAGGAACTTCAAGACTAACCTCTGAAGGAAGGGTTTTATGGAGATAGTCCCCTGATCTAGTTCCATGCAAATGATCTCTTGACCTTTCCAGGAATCGTGATTGTTGATGAAAAACGTGAGAAGTCCGAACTCACGGACTGATCTCTCAACTCTTTCGGCACCTTCAATCAAAATGCAATTACAGTAGATTGTTTAAATCCCAAAGTGATAAAACTGGGGATGGCTTATGAGACTTATGAGTGTTACTGCACGACATCGTTTCCATCAAACATATTCTCTTCGCCTGCATCAATACAATCAGATCACGGGAACCCCACAATTTCTCCCCCAAAACCAATGCTGGCGCTCCTTTCGACGTGTCAGCCCCAGGCGCAAACCAAGGCAGACATTATCCCCCATATGTTGACTCGCACCACAGGAAACTTGTGAAAGTCTTGGAAAAAATGGAAGAACTATATAGAAATATAGTTCTTCAGTTCAGTTCAGTGAGTTTTGGGCATATTTTGGACATGGCACAGGCGACTGACCACTGACTGTCCAAGCCATTGGTCCAGGCGTTTCAGCACCTCTTTGGATCCAAAAACTCTGCAGAAGGCCGTCACCAATCGAGGGGAGATCATCCAGTCCGAGATATAGATATGTCGTGAGTATTCTTGAGTCATGAGTATACTAAAATGTGACGAGGAAAACGTCTCCACACACACCTTTGTGAAGGCAGATCGTTGGAGGAAAGAGTCAAGATGCACATCGAACGTGAATCGATCCTTTTGATTTGATTTCGATGTGTTTCGCACCTCTAATGTGTGCTCAAGCAGAACTGCAACCCTTTGAAGCTGATGCCAGAGCTACCGCACTCAACAACTTCTTAGAGTCTTAGACTTGACTAGGTTTCATTCAAGTGTAATATTGAGTTATATCTTGAATTGGTGTTGACGCATTGCATTCACACATTTGCAGCTCAAACGCATGGCTTCAAACAAAGAGTTGACAAGTTCCAAGGGAAAGGTCGCATCTGTTCCGCAGAGTGATCAGCAAGCCAAGCTAGTTGAGGATGTGTACGATTTCTTTGATTTCTTTCCTACTGGTTCCAGGAACAGTTATCCACTTGGAACTTCGTTGGAACAGAAGCACCACCCATCATTTGCCAGTGCCTTGGTGTTTCAAGATGTTGGGCCATATTTCATGGATGGGTCTCACAGGTTTGCACAAACCTTGTAGATACATACAGCTAGTGAGCCTTTTGTGCCTCTGTAGAGACAGTCATCGATCATCGATCATGATGGATGTCAAAAAATCAAGTTCACAATATTCCAAAGTTTGAGACTTTTCGTTTACTATGAAGGGCTCTCATTTTCCCAGTCTCCACTTCAGTTCGGTGCCAAAATCTGACACGGTGATACGTAGTCTAGGATTTGGATTTGTAGCACCTCTTCTCAGAATGAATAAACCTCGACATGCCTGAAATTTCTACCACTGGTGGAACTCGATAGGAAAACAACCTACCTCGCAAATTGAAGGGGCGTTCTTTTATCCAAATACTCCATGCACACCAGCATTCCTCTGCCATGCCGAGCTTCAATTCTTAAAATAAAAGTTCCCTCGCCAGGGACATGCCAAACAACCTGCCAAGTCAAACACAACGCATACAGCGCATTACAGAGTCATAAAGGATGCGACACTCTCACTGTGCCTAAGGAAACTATGTTGTTAATGCATGATGCAGATTTGTGAAAGTCAACTGCTGCAATGAACACTTTCACAGTTTCTGGCAGGATGCCGCCAAGATGATGTCTGCTGATTGAATACGGGCCAACCAATCCCCTCCAATCGTCAACATGCGCCGCTAGCTTGCGCTACCAATATGTTTGGGATTGTTTGGGTACCCGTGGATTCTACAGTGAGTCCTTTTTTGCAGCATGTATTCATTCATGGTGCTTAAGCTCCTCCTGGTTTCAAAACGCAATGTAGAAGTGCTGTGTGTGTGTGCTCGAAGAGTTCCAAGATTTCACAGGACCATATCGCCATTTGAGAAACACACATAGTACTTGTGCTCAAACGGATTGAACTCTGTGGCATGAGAAGTTCGAGTTGCAGGTCGACCAACACCAGATTGGGATCAGGCAATGTGGCACAAGGTTTTTGGGTACTGAAATGAACATATCTGGATATCGACCATTACACTACCACACTTTGAGACGAGGTTGTAGACATGCTATAAAAGGAAAAAAGCACGCAAAGGCAACAGCTGCAGCTAGAGAAGAACGACATCTGTCATCGTGTTGAAAATCAATGAAAATCAAACTCAAATCAAGCCATGCTAAACGAGGCAAAACATGGCGCAACTAAGGCTTTGTTTTGTTGAAAAACTAGTGAACATTATTGAACTAAAACTCTTCATGGCTTATGTTGTGCACATCTACAGTCTGAGATCCCTGACACCTTCGCCGTGAACTTTCTGCTGCCAAGCTGCCATGCCATCTCTGTCGTTTCTTTTCATGCCGGATGGTCCACATTGCAGCAGCCAAGCCCTGGGATCCGTTCCCGTCTTCTTCGCGGTTTCACTTCCAAGGTCCTGGGTTCACCGGCAACAACAACTGTCCAATGTTCTTCACGGAGTTTGACCAAAACAGGGGAGTTGGTTGTTTCTACAGATCTTCCTTCTTCACAATACAAGTAGCTCACACGGCAGATCTGCGTCACTTCTACAAATTGTTGGTATTGGATCAGCTCCTGGTAAGTGATATTGAGCATCCTTTGGGCTGTAGCCAAGCTGCCACCAGATTTTGAAGTCTTCACCCCGCTCCTTTTTGATCTTCTCTGCCTCTTCCAATGCCTGCCGAGTGCCGAGCTGGGAGCTAGTCTCTCAAGACGTTTTCTAATGTGGATACATTTTGACACTGCACGAGTGCATGCAGAATCAAGTGTTCACTATATTCACTCACATCTCGGTCGACAAAAAAACAAGAAGGTCAACACCCAACTCCCCTCCTCTCCGACCCCCAACTGGCGCCTTGCGGCCCTGTGTGCGCCAAAGTCCCCACAGCCTGTATCCATAGTCCCGACTGAGAGAAATATAAGAAAGATGTCGGTTCTGCAGCAGCCCGGCGGCCAAGGCCTGGCATTGGATCCGACGGCGCAGGGTCCGGACAATCCGAACCAACTGCAAGGAACAGCCACCAATGCTGCCACAGCAATTCGGTTTCAAAGGAGCTGACCTCTACCGTACCTCGCACACCTTTCCTTTCTCACACAAACTTCACCCCCGACCCCGTCAAGATCTCAGTGGAAATCATGACAGTAGCAGCTCGGCTTTGGAAGAACCAACCTACAACATCTCCCACACCTTTCCTTTCTCATGCAAGCTTCATACCCCAACCCCAAAAAAAAAACTAACATCTAGCTACTTGGCTTTGGAAGTACTAACCACATCTATCCTTTTTCACACAAAGTTCACGCCCAAACACTTGATCTTCACCTTTCCGGCCACATCTCCAACAAAGTCCAACTACCCCAAACTGTTGCTCATCCCCCAACACCGGCGAGCAGGCGTTCAGCCGCAGGTGCCTCAGCTCCACAGTCACCGATGTTGTTGTTTTGGAGCTGAAGCTCCTTCAAACTTCCATTGGTCTTAAGGCTTTCAGCCAGGGCCTGGCCAACTCGTGCCGACCGGAACCAGTCGACATTGACCCCTCTCCCCACCTGGGGAAGCACAGATCACACATCGGGGCAAACTTACAGAGTACCCAACATCCAGTGGACAGAATCACTGGGAGACCACTTGTCAAGATCACTGTTTCTCTGCAGCTACTCACGCTCATGCTGGGGAAGTCTTCAAATTCGCATTTTCAAAATTCGCCATCCAAACATCCGACTGCAAGGAACAGCCAACAATGCTGTGACACGTAGCGGCTCGGCTTCAAAGGAGCTGACCTACAAGACCTCTACATGACATCTTTCCGTTTTCACACAAACTTCACCAATCCCTTGAAAATTACTATAATCTTGCCATATCAACAAAGTCCAACTACCCCAAACTGTTGCTCATCCCCCGACACCGGCGAGCAGGCGTTCAGCCGCAGGTGCCTCAGCGCCACGGTCACCGATGTTGTTGTTCTGGAGCCAAAGCGTCTCCAAACTGCTGTTGCTCTTCAGGCTTTCAGCCAGGGCCTGGCCAACTCGTGCCGAGGGGAAAACAGGCGGGGTTCACCCCTTCTCCCTCACCTGGTGAAGAACAGAGCACACATCGGGGCAAACTTACAGAGTACCCAACATCCAGTGGACAGAATCACTGGGAGACCACTTGTCAAGATCACTGTTTCTCTGCAGCTACTCCCTCTCATGCTGGGGAAGTCTTCAAATTCGCATTTTCAAGATCCGCCATCCAAACATCCGACTGCAAGGAACAGCCAACAATGTTGTGACATGTAGCGGCTCGGCTTCAAAGGAGCTGACCTACAAGACCTCTACATGACATCTTTCCGTTTTTACACAAACTTCACCAATCCCTTGAAGATGACTAATCTTGCCACATCTCCAACAAAGTCCAACTACCCAAAACTGTTGCTCATCCCCCGACACCGGCGAGCAGGCGTTCAGCCGCAGGTGCCTCAGCGCCACGGTCACCGATGTTGTTGTTCTCGAGCCCAAGCTTGTCCAAACTTCCATTGCTCTTCAGGCTTTCAGCCAGGGCCTGGCCGTCTGGGTACCATGGGGGAACAGTCGGAATTGACACCTACCCTGGCCTGGCAACGCACAGAAACAAATCGATTTAAGGGCAGGGCTCTTCCCAAGCCAACAACATCAACAACAAGTGGAGGGAATCACCATGTCGGGCGAAGGATCGCTACTAAATAAGCTTTCAACCACCGGACCATAAGATCACCCAGAGTTTTCAAAACAAATTGTCCCATTGTCGGCTCTGCTTCATTGGCTCTGTGAATGACATCCGGAGACGGTTGCTCAACCGACGGTTGCCGAAGTGCACAATGGCACAGTTCGTTCCTAACCAAAAACACGCTCTGCAAATGCCGCGCGATGCTACGACATATCAAGTCGCTTCACTCATTGCTCAATGCTGTACTCAAAAACAGACTGAATGTCCAAAAGCTACCCAAAGCGTCGCACATCCCCGGACACCAGCGAGCAGGCATTCCAGCCGCGGGCGCCTCAGCTCCACAGTCACCGATGTTGTTGTTATCGAGCCAAAGCTTCTCCAAACTTCCATTGGTCTTAAGGCTTTCAGCCAGGGCCTGGCCAACTCGTGCCGAGGGGAAACAGGCGGGATTCACCCCCTCTCCCCACCTGGTTATAGCACACATTGGGGCAAATTTACAGAGTACCCAACATCCAGTGGACAGAATCACTGGGAGACCACTTGTCAAGATCACTGTTTCTCTGCAGCTACTCCCACTCATGCTGGGGAAGTCTTCAAATTCGCATTTTCAAAATTTGCCATCCAAACATCCGACTGCAAGGAACAGCCAACAATGTTGTGACATGTAGCGGCTCGGCTTCAAAGGAGCTGACCTACAAGACCTCTACAGAACATCGTTCCGTTTTCACACAAACTTCACCCAATCCCTTGAAGATTACTAATCTTGCCACATCTCCAACAAAGTCCAACTACCCCAAACTGTTGCTCATCCCCCAACACCGGCGAGCAGGCGTTCAGCCGCAGGTGCCTCAGCTCCACAGTCACCGATGTTGTTGTTGTGGACTGAAGCTCCTTCAAACTTCCATTGGTCTTAAGGCTTTCAGCCAGGGCCTGGCCAACTCGTGCCGAGGGGAAACAGGCGGGATTCACCCCCTCTCCCCACCTGGTTATAGCACACATTGGGGCAAATTTACAGAGTACCCAACATCCAGTGGACAGAATCACTGGGAGACCACTTGTCAAGATCACTGTTTCTCTGCAGCTACTCCCACTCATGCTGGGGAAGTCTTCAAATTCGCATTTTCAAAATTCGCCATCCAAACATCCGACTGCAAGGAACAGCCAACAATGTTGTGACATGTAGCGGCTCGGCTTCAAAGGAGCTGACCTACAAGACCTCTACAGAACATCTTTCCGTTTTCACACAAACTTCACCCAATCCCTTGAAGATTACTAATCTTGCCACATCTCCCACAAAGTCCAACTACCCCAAACTGTTGCTCATCCCCCAACACCGGCGAGCAGGCGTTCAGCCGCAGGTGCCTCAGCTCCACGGTCACCGATGTTGTTGTGCTGGAGGCCAAGCCAATCCAAACTTCCATTGGTCTTAAGGCTTTCAGCCAGGGCCTGGCCAACTCGTGCCGAGGGGAAATTCACCCCCTCTTCCCACCTGGTTAAGAACAGAGCACACACTGGGGCAAATTTACAGGGTACCCAACATCCAGTGGAAAGAATCACTAGGAGACTACTTGTCAAGATCACTGTTTCTCTGCAGCTACTTCCTCTCATGCTGGGGAAGTCTTCAAATTCGCATTTTCAAAATTTGCCATCCAAACATCCGACTGCAAGGAACAGCCAACAATGCTGTGACACGTAGCGGCTCGGCTTCAAAGGAGCTGACCTACAAGACCTCTACATGACATCTTTCCGTTTTCACACAAACTTCACCAATCCCTTGAAGATGACTAATCTTGCCACATCTCCAACAAAGTCCAACTACCCAAAACTGTTGCTCATCCCTCAACACCAGCGAGCAGGCGTTCAGCCGCAGGTGCCTCAGCTCCACGGACACCGATGTTGTTGTTCCCGAGGCCAAGCGCCCGCAAACTTCCGTTGGTCTTAAGGCTTTCAGCCAGGGCCTGGCCAACTCGTGCCGAGGGGAAACAGTTGGGATTCACCCCTCTCCCCACCTGGTTAAGAACAGAGCACACATTGGGGCAAATTTACAGGGTACCCAACATCCAGTGGACAGAATCACTGGGAGACCACTTGTCAAGATCACTGATTCTCTGCGACGCTACTCCACTCATGCTTGGGAAGTCTTCAAATTCGCATTTTCAAAATTTGCCATCCAAATGTCCGACTGCAAGGAACAGCTAACAATGCTGTGACACGTAGCGGCTCGGCTTCAAAGGAGCTGACCTACAACACCTCTACATCTTTCCGTTTTCACACAAACTTCACCAATCCCTTGAAGATTACTAATCTTGCCACATCTCCAACAAAGTCCAACTATGTCCAACTACCCCAAGCTGTTGCTCATCCCTCAACACCAGCGAGCAGGCGTTCAGCCGCAGGTGCCTCAGTTCCACGGACACCGATGTTGTTGTTCTTGAGGTCAAGCAACCCCAAACTTCCATTGGTCTTAAGGCTTTCAGCCAGGGCCTGGCCAACTCGTGCCGAGGGGAAACAGGCAGGATTCACCCCCTCTCCCCACCTGGTTCAGAACACAGCACACATCGGGGCAAACTTACAGAGTACCCAACATCCAGTGGACAGAATCACTGGGAGACCACTTGTCAAGATCACTGTTTCTCTGCAGCTACTCCCACTCATGCTGGGGAAGTCTTCAAATTCGCATTTTCAAGATTCGCCATCCAAACATCCGACTGCAAGGAACAGCCAACAATGCTGTGACACGTAGCGGCTCGGCTTCAAAGGAGCTGACCTACAAGACCTCTACATGACATCTTTCCGTTTTCACACAAACTTCACCAATCCCTTGAAGATTACTAATCTTGCCACATCTCCAACAAAGTCCAACTACCCCAAACTGTTGTTCATCCCCCAACACCGGCGAGCAGGCTTCAGCTGCAGGCGCCTCAGCTCCACGGTCACCGATGTTGTTGTTCTTGAGGTAAAGCTCCTTCAAACTTCCATTGGTCTTAAGGCTTTCAGCCAGGGCCTGGCCAACTCGTGCCGAGGGGAAACAGTTGGGATTCACCCCCTCTCCCCACCTGGTGAAGAACAGAGCACACATCGGAGAATATCTACGGAGTACAGTGCCCAAAATACAGAATCGGTGGGAGGAGACCACCTGTCAAGACCACTATTTCTCTGCAGCCACTCAATCTCCTGTTGGGGAAGTTCCAGAATTCGCATTTTCAAGATTTGCCAATCCAGGGCCTCAAGAACTGGCAAAAAAAATTGCAAAAATATCTCCTTAAACCCGCAGCGTGTCGCAGCAGAGATGCCTCTGCACCCTGGTCCCCGATCTTGTTGCAGCTAAGGTCAACCCTTTTGGCGGTGCTGCTTTTCAGAGCCTCTGCCAAGACCTGCGGCAGCTCCCTCCCACGTGTCCCGGTGGGTATGCAGAGGATCCATCAACGGGGTGCAGATTTCAAGATGCGTTCAACGGAAACTCAGGGTCACAAGCCCCTAAATATCACGCTGCGAAACACTCGTTCCATGTTGAAAATTCCTGCTCTAGGCACCTATACAAATATGTGCATTGGCGTTTTGAAGAGCTCTCACAGTAGATCCATCTTTCTCGATGGAACATTTGGCCCTCGTCTAGAACAATTGGCACTTGTGGGACATGAGCGACCGACCTTTTGAGCACCTATTTCGCTGCTCAGAGATTTATCAGCACAGCACAGTTGGTGTCAACACACTTCGTTATTTGTGAGATCAGAAGAAACCTATTACAGTGCACCATACCTGCAGCATGCCGTGAGGGGCATGTGATCCCAATAGGATTTGAAAAGGGCCACAGCATAGCCTTTGCACACTGGTTCGCTGCGTCATTTGGATGGAATCTCAGAATTGCTGCGCACCAGGTGCATATCTACTTTTGAATCTTGTCACGCATGAATTTACTGAGTTATTAAGAGTCCAATATAGGACTGACTGGAAAGCGAGATCAGCAAAACAGCAGCAAAATGAAATCACCGACATGGGATATGAAACCATCACTTTCCCAGAAAAACATGGCCCCCAGCTTCGGCCCTGGAGACTCTAACACCGCACCTTGGCGCCGGAATCGCCAAGCTGGATTTGCCGGAAATCGAAATCGAAATCCTTTCAGACCGGTCCCCTCAAAAAGGCCACCCGGTGACATGCTCCGACTAAGCACAAAGCGGCTTCCCCTCCTGAATTCCGGCTGGATCTTGCTGGCAAGTTGTGATCCACCGACTCCAACACACCGACTCCCCAGAGCCCCGTCCCCCGCCTGCCCGGCGAACACACCTGCCATGCGCTTCACCATGTGGAGCTCCGAGCCACTGAGCTTGTCGAGGTCCTGCACAGGAAACAAGTTCAGCCTTTGTTGACTTGTGAGCCTGTGACCCTGCACTTCCAGCCGTAGCAAATTGCAGGAATGAATGTCTGTTTGCCTACCACGAGACAAAGGGTCGCACAGCTGGCCAAGCAGCTGAAGTTCATATTCAAAAGCCCAATTCTCAACATGCACAACACTTCCTGAGCTTCCGGAAATGCTGGTGCCATAGTGAACTGAGTCCTTCAGCTCTTCGCTCATGAAGTCGCAGCGCTTCATTACATCCAGAAAGAAGGTCAACTGCGGCAGCATCTTCGCGAAAAGGTCGGAAGTTTTCCTGTTATGCGGCATGATTTCGCTCCCATCACCCATGAATGGAGCGAAATCATCACCCATGAATTCTGCCTGCGCAGGTCCGGGACATGAGATAGACATGAGACAGAGTGTTGCTGGTGCTGAGACTGGAAGATTGACGCCGTTGTGGAAGGTTGGTTTGATTTGCAAGTTTCTGATTAGTTCTATCTACTTATGAACATCGATTTATATCAAACCCATTTCAGTTAGAAGAATGCGTGTAATGTTCTGACACCTTTGCAGGACAGTTGCAGCAAACGCAGCTCGTTGCAGCTTCAATGGTGGAACTGCCATCTCTTGGGAAAAACAGCTTGTTTAACAGCTGCTAGCAGCTTTGCATTGGTTGTCAGCTTGGGTATGCAAGAGCCATACATGACAATGAGAACAGGGCCAGATTGCATCCAGTGAACATAAAATAGGGGTATTCAGTATTCAGAAGCTTGGGTGGCGCGAGCACACAAAAGGTGCAATCTTCTGGCTCGCGTATATGGTCGTTTGCATTGCACACGTCAATATTAGACTGCTGCATCAACTAATATTCAATGCTGCAATACTCTTGGACTCGCAATTCCTCGAAGACCCTTTGATGGATCCGGCCTCTTCCCACAATGCTTTGGCCACCACGATGTTGCCACTTTTCATGGCTCTGTTGAGCCTCTTTCCCAGTGCTGGGATTGCAGCCGCCCGCACAGGCTCAAACAATGCAGCGGCGAGAACAATGTGCACCAAGGGCGCCACTATGTTCAAAACAGTAACAAAAAATGATCCGCCTTCAACAGCCAAAAATAGAACAGACATCAGTGCCTGGGGCACGTTCTCAATGAATATGTGGAGGAGTTTGCTTTTGGTCACCTGTTTGAAGATTGTGGGGAGGATAATCCCTTCCCAACAACCTCCAGACCACTCGCCCTGGACCTTTGGGGGGATGAGCAAAACTGAGAGGTGGCTCGTGGCCAGCTCATTGAAACAGTTTGGAGCCTGAGGAAGATAAACCTCCATAAAATAATGCATAAAAAAGAAAAGGGCATGGAAGGCTACTAGGTACGACCAGCTCAACACTCCGACTATCTTCATGAAAACGTGCTGTGACTGTAAACAAAGCCCTCCAAAAATGATGTCTTTCAAAGTGTCCCACTGGTCAGATAAAAACGGTGCCATGGAGGAAAATGAAGCCACAGCAAAAGCTGTGGCATCAAAGCGGTCACCCGCTTTGAGCCAGGCCACCGCCAGCACGGCTTGGACTAGAAGGGAAGCACCGGCACAACAAAACAGCAACAAATAAACTTCCCAGTCCAAGCCGAGTGTCTTGGATAGCCTTCCATTTTCCATGCTCCACAGAGTTGCAGCAAAGCTCAACAATACCGTGCTGCCGAAGCTCAACATGACCAGCCGTCGTTGAGCCCCTTGGCTCAGTGGGACGGTCTGACCCAGAGCCTGGTAGGAGCTGAATGCTTTGAATTCAGCTCCCACGACCATGATGACGGTCCCTGAGATAACAACACAAAGAAACACCAGGAGAAAAACGCAAAGAAACCAATGGAAACGATCTGCCCTTTCCTGATCCGTCATGGCTCTGATCTCCGCAATCGTTGGGAGGAGCGCTTTTGGCTCCTCAACGGTCTGTGCAGTAAAATTTCCATGGAAAGAATTCTCTACGATTTCGACTAAATCCGGCAGGGCAGGCATCTCGGGCAGCGAAAGAGCCACAGCAGCAGAAACGAGGCTCAGCAGCTGGATTTTCATGGCGCCACGTTGGGAGGTCGAAATCTGTTTCTATCTACGCACCGTTGAGCTTCCAAAACTGGCCACGGGAAGTGAAGGCATGGGCCATGGGTGTATCAGCTTCACGCAGTAGGAGGTTATGAGGCTCAAAGCTGTTTCGAATTGTTGGAAATTTTGAGTTCGCCTCAATTTTAATCATCCATTTCATCCATTTTAATAGGATTTTCCATGATAAACCATCTATTTTGGGGTACCCCCATTTATGGAAACCCCCAGTTAGCCTCAGAGTTTGTCAGAGATCACAACCAATCTGCGAAAGAATGAGATCCTGGAGATGCTGCGCAGCACGGTGATTCTTTGGCACTTGGCGCTCTCAACTCTTTGGATCTTCCCTGCTTTCAAGGTCTGTGTCGAAGCTTGGAAGCCGTTTGCTATTTAAAGAAACACGGGCCACTGTTTATCCCCATTGTGTTTTGAAACATTGAGCCCTAAAATTAAGCTTTTCATTCTGACAGTTTTCTTGCAAATCACACTCAACCTGAATTGCTTCAATAATCTTCAATATGTTCACACCTGCAACTTTCCAAGCATAGCCATGTATGGAATCCAAGGAATGGCCTATGCAGCAAACTGCTCTCAAAGTTCGTGATGTCGTGGCAGAGAGAGCATGGGACCTCTGCACAATCAGTCACTAGCGAATGCAAATCTCATGGCTCAAAGAACAAGCGGACCCTGTGACAGCTGTCCCCCACCACCAGCCAAGCTAATCTTCCTGCCGATGGTTCAGAAACCGGCATGCGAGTGACTCAGTGTGATTTCAGACAAGTTACGGCCATCCACAGTACTGAGCAGCGCGCGTGTACTTTCTTCAGCCCACTTGTGCGGGCAAAAACAAAACACCTCAGCCTGTTTGCAGCTCCAGGTTAAGACGACATCCACTGAAACATCATTTCCTCTACCAATAGCAAACACTGCCCTGGGCAACTGAAGAAAACCGTCCCAAAAATCCAACGAAATGTGCGATGCGGGAATCCATTGATAGTGGATGTGAGAAACCTGCAACCTGTTTGGTCCTAAGATTAATTACCATCTCTCTGCCGAGCCTGGGGTTGCTACAAACACTCCTGGAGCGCGGAACGTGATTACCAGGAATGGGACTGCGTAAGACCAAAAATGCTGACATCTTCAAAAATTATGTTTGCACGCGTAGGTGCGCCCTAGTGGGAGCAGTATTTTGAAGCAAGAAGCGGACACTCCAAACAGATCGGCACTCTTGCGACACTCCCGTATGTCAGTGACTCATGGTAGAATGCAATGAATTTGTTTGCTGAAAGACAAAAAATCCAACTGCATCAGTTCCGATGTAAATATCGAATTTCTGCTTGTCATACTAGATTGCCAGACGGCGCGGGTCATGATTCCAAACTCCAGTTTGCCAGGTGACCAAGTGCATTTCACACCATTTTTTTCAGCTTGCTTGAGCAAATATAGCAAGTACCTGCCTCGGGCTTAAGATGACACCCTCAATAGGTTAACAGCAACATGTCATATCTTAATGCTGAAGTTGCTGTCTTATACGTTTGATTCTCTGTTTCGGCATTAAATAGCCATTATTTCTATCGACTTAGATATTGTTCTTAGGATATAAATTGCTCTAAGTCCATGAACAAGGTCAAAATCGCCCCACCTAAGCGGGTGGCCAAATTTCGACAGCCTCCCCAGCAGCCCTAGCGGGAGCCCGGGCCTTGCGACTGCCTGGAGGGCCATGGGATTTTGGCATCTGTGTGGGGCACCTTGCCTCTGAATGAAGGAAAATTCATGGAAATCTGGTTGGTGGTTCACCTACCCCTCTGAAAGATGATGGAGTTCATCAATGGGAAGGATGACATCCCATATATTCTGGAAAATAATCCACTCATGTTTGAAACCACCAGAAATTCATCAGCTGCATTGATTTCATCTGATCTTGATCTGGACTTACAGAAATCCTAATTGTTGATGGAGAAACAGCTGGAATGTCACCGACAACGATTCTGCACAAACAATGATGACCTTCTTGGAACTGCGAATTCACCGAATCCCCCAGAATTGGTGTAGTCTAGTATTTAGAAGCCAAAAGCGGACACTCCAACCAGTTTGTTCTCTTTTGGCACCTTTAAAAGTATATCTGAATCTTAATCGCTTATACCCTGAAGTGCTAAAATTGGGGGTGGCTTGGGTTCGACACATTAAGAGGATGCACCGCAAATGTGAACAATTGTTCAGCAAGTGGTCCAACGCGACATCCAAGTGCACCATGTTTACATCAAACATATCCAATGATTCTCTCCGCAGCCTGCATCAATGCAGTCAAACAAAACCCCACAGTTTCTCCCCCAAACCAATGCTGGCGCTCCTTTCGATGTCTGTCAGCCCCAGGCGCAACTCTCACCACGGAAAAAATATCCCTGCAGAAGTGATTTTGGCATAGTTTTGCTATGTGTTTGCTATGTTTTGGTATCATGGTATTCATGGTCCAGGCACTGGAAACTGTCCATCCCAGTGGCGAAAGTTTCAAGCTTCGCACCACCTTTCGGGCCCAAAACGCACAACCCAGCATGATGCGTTTCACAACGAAGGCTTCTCAAAATCCTTTCCTGGGATGACCGATCGGATATACAATCGAATACAATCGAGGTTGGGATATCATCCTGTCGGAGATATGTCCTGAGTCATGAGTGCTAAATATTTTGGATGTGCCCAGGAAAACATCTCCACAGACCTTTATGAATGTGGATCATTGGAGGAAAGAGGCAAGAAAATGCGCAGCGATCGCAATTCGATCTTTTCTTCGATACGCTTGGCACCTCCAATACGTGCTGAAGCAGAACTGCAAACCTTTGAAGCTGATGCCAGAGCTGCCACATTCAATAGCTTCATAGACTTAGCTAAGTTTCACTCAACTCTATATTTAATCATCATATGATATATCATATTATATTGGCTTGATGTTGATGCCTTGCATTCAGACATTCGCAGCTCAAACGCATGGCTTCGAATAAAGAGTTGACAAGTTCCAAGGGAAAGGTCGCGTCTGTTCCACAGAGTGATTAGAAAGCCACACTAGTTGAGCATGCGCATGCTTTCCTTAATTTCTTTCCAACTGGTACCAGGAACAGTTGTCCACTTGGGACTTCGTTGGAACAGAAGCAGCACCCGTCATTTGCCAGTGCCTTGGTGTTCCAAGATGTTGGGCCATATTTCATGGATGGATCTTACATGTTTGTACAAACCTTGTACATACAGCAATTAATGCTTTTGGTGTCTCTGTTACAGTTGCAACAGTCATCATGGCTACGAGTACTCAAAAATCCTCAAGGTTCCCAATATTCCAGAGTTTGGGACTCTTTGTTTGCTGTAAAGGTCTCTCAATTTCACATTCCCAGTCTCCACTTCAATTCTGTGACAGAACCTGCAATTCCAAGTACTGGCTGAAGTCAAGTAGGAAAGCAACCTACACTGCAAACTTCTGCGCAGTAAAATACCTGTAAGTTGCATGATGATTTGAAGGGTTGTTTTTCTCCAAATACTCCATGCCAAGCTTCAATTCTTAAAATCAGTTGCCTCGCCAGGGACATGCCAAAAAGGCAAACACAAGACACATGGGGTGCAACAGCCTGACCATGCCGAAGTAAAACCATGCTTCGGATCTGTGAAAGTCAACTGCAATGAACACAAGCAGCCCTCCCGAATACAGCCAAGCAACTGCTGGATGTCCAATGGCCTCAAGATCCAAACCCCTCCAATCGTTCAATATGCGCTAGCCATAGCTAGCCTGCGTTATGAATGTGCTTGGGTAACCTTGGATTCTCTCGTAAGTTCAATTGTCCGAGTCTGTGTTCATTCATGGTGAATAAGCACCTTCTGGTTTCATAACGCAATGTTCAATTGCTGTGCGTGCTAGATGGGTTCCAAGACTTCACAAGACGATACCAGCACTTGACAAAATGACATGCTACTTGACGGGTCAGCAGAAGGAAAGCACGTCTTTTGGTCAACAGCTGCAGCTAAAGAAGAACGACACCTGTCATCATGTTCAGAATCAAACTTGAATCAAACCATGCTGAAGAAAAACATTGCGCAACTGAGGCTTTATTTTGTTGAAAACTATTGAACATTATTGAACTAAAACTCTTCATGGCTTATGTTGTGCACAACAGTCTGAGATCCCTGACACCTTCGCCGTGACCTTCTGCTGCCAAGCTGCCATTCCTTTCAGCCAAGCCCTCGGACCCATTCCCGTCTCAGTTTCACATCCTGGGTGCGCCAGTCGTCAGAGCTTCCTAGTGCCATACAGGTGACCCACACCGCAGGGTTGCACGTCCCGAATTTGTGCTATTAAATCGAATCATGAATCATATCATCTGAGGGTAGCTCATACTGAAAATATTTTGGGCCTTTTTGGGCGCCAAGCTGCCACCAGATTTCGAAGTCATCGCCCCACTCCTGTTTGATCTTCTCTGCCTCTTCCAATGCCTGGCCGCCCCCGACCTCCACCACACCCTACTCCTAACGGAACCCCCACTGGCGCCTGGAGGCCCGGTGGCCAAGGTCCCCACAGATTGGACCCAAATTCGCTGAGAGAAAGTCTCCAGAGACTTCGGTTCTGCACCAGACCAGCGGCCAAGGCCTGGCACTTGACATCGGATCCCACCACGCAGGGTGCCAGAATTCGAAACTTCCGACTGAAAGGAACAGCCACCAATGCTGTGACATGTAGCTGCTTGCGCTACCAATATGTTTGGGTACCCATGGATTCTACAGTGAGTCCTTTTTTGCAGCATGTATTCATTCATGGTGCCCTCAGCTCCTGGTTTCAAAACGCAATGTAGAAGTGCTGTGTGTGTGTGTGCTCGAAGGGTTCCAAGATTTCACAGGACCATATCGCCATTTCAGAAACACACATAGTCTACTTATAGTACTTGTGCTCAAACGGATTGAACTCTGTGGCATTAGAAGTTCGAGTTGCAGGTCGACCAACACCAGATTTCGATCAGGCAATGTGGCACAAGTTTGTGGGTACTGAAATGAACATATCTGGATATCGACAATTACACTACCACACTTTGAGACGAGGTTGTAGACATGCTATAAAAGGAAAAAGGGTCAGAGAAAAGGAAAGCACGCAAAGGCCAACAGCCGCAGCTAGAGAAGAACGACATCTGTCATCGAGTTGAAAATCAATGAAAATCAAACTCAAATCAAGCCATGCTAAACGAAGCAAAACATGGCTTTGTTTTGTTGAAAAACTATTGAACTAAAACTCTTCATGGCTCGTGTTGTGCACACCTACAGTCTGAGATCCCTGACACCTTCGCCGTGAACTTTCTGCTGCCAAGCTGCCATGCCATCTCTGTCGTTTCTTTTCATGCCGGATGGTCCACATTGCAGCAGCCAAGCCCTGGGATCCATTCCCGTCTTCGCGGTTTCACTTCCGGGATCCTGGGTTCACCGGCAACAACAACTGTCCAACATTCTTCACGGAGTTTGACCAAAACAGGGGAGTTGGTTGTTTCTGCAGATCTTCCTTCACAATACAAGTAGCTCACACGGCAGATCTGCGTCACTTCTACAAATTGTTGGTATTGGATCAGCTCCTGGTAAGTGATATTGAGCATCCTTTGGGCTGTAGCCAAGCTGCCACCAGATTTTGAAGTCTTCACCCCGCTCCTTTTTGATCTTCTCTGCCTCTTCCAATGCCTGGCCGCCCAGTGCCGAGCTGGGAGCTAGTCTCTCAAGACGTTTTCTAATGTGGATACATTTTGACACTGCACTCGTGCATCAAGTGTTCACTATATTCACTTTGAAGCTCACCCCGTATCCCAAACAAATCACATCTCGGTCGACAAAAAAAACAAGAAGGTCAACACCCAACTCCCCTCCTCTCCGACCCCCCAACTGGCGCCTTGCGGCCCTGTGTGCGCCAAAGTCCCCACAGCCTGTATCCATAGTCCCGACTGAGAGAAATTGAAGAAAGACTTCGGTTCTGCAGCAGCCCGGCGGCCAAGGCCTGGCATTGGATCCGACAGCGCAGGGTCCGGAAAATCCGAACTTCCGACTGCAAGGAACAGCCACCAATGCTGCCACAGCAATTCGGTTTCAAAGGAGCTGACCTCTACCGTACCTCGCACACCTTTCCTTTCTCACGCAAACTTCACCCCCGACCCCGTCAAGATCTCAGTGGAAATCATGACAGTAGCAGCTCGGCTTTGGAAGAACCAACCTACAACATCTCCCACACCTTTCCTTTCTCATGCAAGCTTCATACCCCAACCCCAAAAAAAAACTAACATCTAGCTACTTGGCTTTGGAAGTACTAACCACATCTATCCTTTTTCACACAAAGTTCACGCCCAAACACTTGATCTTCACCTTTCCGGCCACATCTCCAACAAAGTCCAACTACCCCAAACTGTTGCTCATCCCCCAACACCGGCGAGCAGGCGTTCAGCCGCAGGTGCCTCAGCTCCACAGTCACCGATGTTGTTGTTTTGGAGCTGAAGCTCCTTCAAACTTCCATTGGTCTTAAGGCTTTCAGCCAGGGCCTGGCCAACTCGTGCCGAGGGGAAACAGGGGGGATTCACCCCCTCTCCCCACCTGGTTAAGAACAGAGCACACATAGGAGCAAACTTACAGCACCCAACATCCAGTGGACAGAATCACTAGGAGACCACTTGTCAAGATCACTGTTTCTCTGCAGCTACTCCCTCTCATGCTGGGGAAGTCTTCAAATTCGCATTTTCAAAATTTGCCATCCAAACATCCGACTGCAAGGAACAGCCAACAATGCTGTGACACGTAGCGGCTCGGCTTCAAAGGAGCTGGCCTCCAAGACCTCTACATGACATCTTTCCGTTTTCACTCAAACTTCACCAATCCCTTGAAGATTACTAATCTTGCCACATCTCCAACAAAGTCCAACTACCCAAAACTGTTGCTCATCCCTCAACACCGGCGAGCAGGCGTTCAGCCGCAGGTGCCTCAGCTCCACGGACACCGATGTTGTTGTTCTGGAGCTCAAGCGACCCCAAACTTCCATTGGTCTTAAGGCTTTCAGCCAGGGCCTGGCCAACTCGTGCCGAGGGGAAACAGGCGGGATTCACCCCTCTCCCCACCTGGTTAAGAACAGAGCACGCATCGGGGCAAACTTACAGAGTACCCAACATCCAGTGGAAAGAATCACTGGGAGACCACTTGTCAAGATCCAGAGAAACAGCTACTCCCTCTCATGCTGGGGAAGTCTTCAAATTCGCATTTTCAAAATTCGCCATCCAAACATCCGACTGCAAGGAACAGCCAACAATGCTGTGACACGTAGCGGCTCGGCTTCAAAGGAGCTGGCCTCCAAGACCTCTACATGACATCTTTCCGTTTTCACACGAACTTCACCAATCCCTTGAAGATTACTCATCTTGCCACATCTCCAACAAAGTCCAACTACCCCAAACTGTTGCTCATCCCCCAACACCTGCGAGCAGACGTTCAGCTGCAGGTGCCTCAGCTCCACGGTCACCGATGTTGTTGTTCAAGAGGTAAATCTCCTTCAAACTTCCATTGGTCTTAAGGCTTTCAGCCAGGGCCTGGCCAACTCGTGCCGAGGGGAAACAGGCGGGATTCACCCCCCTCTCTCCCACCTGGTTAAGAACAGAGCACACATCGGAGCAAACTTACAGCACCCCCCCCCAAAAAATCAGTGGACAGAATCACTAGGAGACCACTCTCTCATGCTGGGGAAGTCTTCAAATTCGCATTTTCAAAATTTGCCATCCAAACATCCGACTGCAAGGAACAGCCAACAATGCTGTGACACGTAGCGGCTCGGCTTCAAAGGAGCTGGCCTCCAAGACCTCTACATGACATCTTTCCGTTTTCACACAAACTTCACCAATCCCTTGACGATTACTCATCTTGCCACATCTCCAACAAAGTCCAACTACCCCAAACTGTTGCTCATCCCTCAACACCAGCAGGCAGGCATTCCAGCCGCGGGCGCCTCAGCTCCACAGTCACCGATGTTGTTGTTTTGGAGCTTAAGCAACCCCAAACTTCCATTGGTCTTAAGGCTTTCAGCCAGGGCCTGGCCAACTCGTGCCGAGGGGAAACAGGCGGGATTCACCCCCCTCTTCCCACCTGGTGAAGAACAGAGCACGGATCGGGGCAAACTTACAGAGTACCCAACATCCAGTGGAAAGAATCACTGGGAGACCACTTGTCAAGATCACTATTTCTCTGCAGCTACTCCCTCTCATGCTGGGGAAGTCTTCAAATTCGCATTTTCAAAATTTGCCATCCAAACATCCGACTGCAAGGAACAGCCAACAATGCTGTGACACGTAGCGGCTCGGCTTCAAAGGAGCTGGCCTCCAAGACCTCTACATGACATCTTTCCTTTCTCACACAAACTTCACAAATCCCTTGAAGATTACTCATCTTGCCACATCTCCAACAAAGTCCAACTACCCCAAACTGTTGCTCATCCCTCAACACCAGCGAGCAGGCGTTCAGCCGCAGGTGCCTCAGCTCCACGGTCACCGATGTTGTTGTCATGGAGGTAAAGCCACCACAAACTTCCATTGGTCTTAAGGCTTTCAGCCAGGGCCTGGCCAACTCGTGCCGAGGGGAAACAGTTGGGATTCACCCCCTCTCCCCACCTGGTTAAGAACAGAGCACACATCGGGGCAAACTTACAGAGTACCCAACATCCAGTGGACAGAATCACTGGGAGACCACTTGTCAAGATCCAGAGAAACAGCTACTCCCTCTCATGCTGGGGAAGTCTTCAAATTCGCATTTTCAAAATTCGCCATCCAAACATCCGACTGCAAGGAACAGCCAACAATGCTGTGACACGTAGCGGCTCGGCTTCAAAGGAGCTGGCCTCCAAGACCTCTACATGACATCTTTCCTTTCTCACACAAACTTCACCAATCCCTTGAAGATTACTAACCTTGCCATATCTCCAACAAAGTCCAACTACCCCAAACTGTTGCTCATCCCTCAACACCAGCGAGCAGGCGTTCAGCCGCAGGTGCCTCAGCTCCACGGACACCGATGTTGTTGTCACGGAGGGAAAGCCACCACAAACTTCCATTGGTCTTAAGGCTTTCAGCCAGGGCCTGGCCAACTCGTGCCGAGGGGAAACAGGCGGGATTCACCCCCTCTCCCCACCTGGTTAAGAACAGAGCACACATGGGGGCAAATTTACAGAGTACCCAACATCCAGTGGACAGAATCACTGGGAGACCACTTGTCAAGATCCAGAGAAACAGCTACTCCCTCTCATGCTGGGGAAGTCTTCAAATTCGCATTTTCAAAATTCGCCATCCAAACATCCGACTGCAAGGAACAGCCAACAATGCTGTGACACGTAGCGGCTCGGCTCCAAGGGAGCTGACCTACAAGACCTCTACATGACATCTTTCCGTTTTCACACAAACTTCACCAATCCCGTGACGATTACTCATCTTGCCACATCTCCAACAAAGTCCAACTACCCCAAACTGTTGCTCATCCCTCAACACCAGCGAGCAGGCGTTCAGCCGCAGGTGCCTCAGCTCCACGGTCACCGATGTTGTTGTCATGGAGGGAAAGCCACCACAAACTTCCATTGGTCTTAAGGCTTTCAGCCAGGGCCTGGCCAACTCGTGCCGAGGGGAAACAGGTGGGATTCACCCCTTCTCCCCCACCTGGTTAAGAACAGAGCACACATCGGAGAATATCTACGGAGTACAGTGCCCAAAATACAGAATCGGTGGGAGGAGACCACCTGTCAAGACCACTATTTCTCTGCAGCCACTCAATCTCCTGTTGGGGAAGTTCCAGAATTCGCATTTTCAAGATTTGCCGATCCAGGGCCTCAAGAACTGGCAAAAAATGTTGCAAATAGCTCTCCTCAAACCCGCAGCGTGTCGCAGCAGAGATGCCTCTGCACCCTGGTCCCCGATCTTGTTGCAGCTTAGGTGAACCCTTTTGGCGGTGCTGCTTTTCAGAGCCTCCGCCAAGACCTGCGGCAGCTCCCTCCCACGTGTCCCGGTGGGTATGCAGAGGATCCATCAACGGGGTGCAGATTTCAAGATGCGTTCAACGGAAACTCAGGGTCACAAGCCCCTAAATATCACGCTGCGAAACACTCGTTCCATGTTGAAAATTCCTGCTCTAGGCACCTATACAAATATGTGCATTGGCGTTTTGAAGAGCTCTCACAGTAGATCCATCTTTCTCGATGGAACATTTGGCCCTCGTCTAGAACAATTGGCACTTGTGGGACATGAGCGACCGACCTTTTGAGCACCTATTTCGCTGCTGAGAGATTTATCAGCACAGCACAGTTGGTGTCAACACACTTCGTTATTTGTGAGATCAGAAGAAACCTATTACAGTGCACCATACCTGCAGCATGCTGTGAGGGGCATGTGATCCCAATAGGATTTGAAAAGGGCCACAGCATAGCCTTTGCACACTGGTTCGCTGCGTCATTTGGATGGAATCTCAGAATTGCTGCGCACCAAGTGCATATCTACTTTTGAATCTTGTCACGCGTGAATTTACTGAGTTATTAAGAGTCCAATAAAGCACTGACTGGAAAGCGAGATCAGCAAAACAGCAGCAAAATGAAATCACCGACATGGGATATGAAACCATCACTTTCCCAGAAAAACATGGCCCCCAGCTTCGGCCCCGGAGACTCTAACACCGCACCTTGGCGCCGGAATCGCCGATCTGCTGGAAAGAGAGATGGAAATCCTTTCAGACCGGTCCCCTCAAAAAGGCCCACTCGGTGACATGCTCTGACTAAGCACAAAGCGGCTTCCCCTCCTGAATTCCGGCTGGATCTTGCTGGCAAGTTGTGATCCACCGACTCCAACACACCGACTCCCCAGAGCCCCGTCCCCCGCCTGCTGGGCGAACGCACCTGCCATGCGCTTCAGGATCTCGAGCTGCAAGTCACTGAGCTTGTTGAGGTCCTGCACAGGAAACAAGTTCAACCTTTGTTGACTTGTGGGCTTGTGACCCTGCACTTCCAGCTGTAGCAAATTGCAGGAATGAAAGTCTGTTTGCCTGCTACGAGACAAAGGGTCGCACAGCTGGCCAAGCAGCTAAGTTCATATCCAAAAGCCTAAATCTCAACATGCACAACACTTCCTGAGTATCAGTTGCAAGCTTCCGGAAATGCTGGTGCCATAGCGAACTAAGTCCTTCAGCTCTTCGCTCATGAAGTCGCAGCGCTTCGTTACATCAAGAAAGAAGGTCAAATGCGGCAGCATCTCCGCGAAAAGCTGGCTGCGATCCATGATTTCTGCGTCTGTAAGACGCATCAGCCTGTCATACATCCCGTCCTCATCCATGATTTCTACCTGCGCATGTATGGGACATGAGATAGACATGAGACAGAGTGTTGCTGGTGCTGAGACTGCAATATTGACGCCATCGTGGAAGGGACTAGATATATCTATATCATTCGTTCTGATATCAAACCTGTGTAAAAGACCCTTTGGTGGATCCGGCCTCTTCCCACAACACTTTGGCCGCTATAGTGTTGCCACTTTTCATGGCTCTGTTGAGCCTCTTTCCCAGCGCCGGGATCGCAGCCGAGCGCACGGGCTCAAACAATAAAAAGGTGAGAGCAACCTGTACTCCAGGTATGACTAGATTCAAGGCAGCGACAAAAAAGGATCCGCCTTCAACAGCCAAAAAAAGGACAGACATCAGTGCCTGGGGCACATTCTCAATGAGCAAGTGGTGGCGCTTGCTCTTTGTCACTTGTCTGTAAATTGTGGGGAGGATAATGCCTTCCCAACAACCTCCGGACCACTCACCTTGGACCTTTGGGGCGATTAGCAAAACTGACAGGTGACTCGTGGCCAGCTCGTTAAAACAGTTTGCACCCAGTGCACCCCTTCTTGGACGGTCGAGCCAATCGCGAGGTGGGTATCTTGCAAGATAAAAAAACCAGGCATGGAAGGCTACTAGGTACGACCAGCTCAACACTCCGACTATCTTCATGAAAACGTGCTGTGACTGTAAACAAAGCCCTCCAAAAATGATGTCTTTCAAAGTGTCAAACTGGTCAGATAAAAACCGGTGCCATGGAGGAAAATGAAGCCACAGCAAAAGCTGTGGCATCAAAGCGGTCACCCGCTTTGAGCCAGGCCACCGCCAGCACGGCTTGGATGAGAAGGGAAGCACCGGCACAACAAAACAGCAACAAATAAACTTCCCAGTCCAAGCCGAGTGTCTTGGACAGCCTTCCGTTTTCCAGGCTCCACAGACATGCCGCGAAGCTCAACAATACCGTGCTGCCGAAGCTCAACATGACCAGCTGTAGTTGAGCTCCTTGGCTCAGTGGGGCGGTCTGACCCAGAGCCTGGTAGGAGCTGAATGCTTTTAATTCAGCTCCCACAACCATGATGACCGTTCCCACAATAGTAACAGACAGAAACACCGCCACAAAAACACAAAGAAACCAATGGAAACGATCTGCCCTTTCCTGATCCGTCATGGCTCTGATTTCTGCAATCGTTGGGAGGAACTCTTTTGGCTCCTCAACCGTCTGCGCCGTAAAATTTCCATGGAAAGGATTCTCTACGATTCCAACTAAATCCGGCAAGGCAGGCATCTCGGGCAGCGAAAGAGCCACAGCAGCAGAAACGAGGCTCAGCAGCTGGATTTTCATGGCGCCACGTTGGGAGGTCTCGATCTGTTTCTATCTGCGCGCTGTTGAGCTTCCAAAACTGGCCACAGGAAGTGAAGGCGTGGGCCATGGGTGTGTCAGCTTCACGCAGTAGGTTATGAGGCTCAAAGCTGTTTCGAATTGTTGGAAATTTTGAGTTAGCCTCAAATATCGTTTAAATCATCCATTTCATCCATTTTCATAGGATTTTCCATGATAAGCCATCTATTTTGGGGTACCCCCATTTATGGAAACCCCCAGTTAGCCTCAGAGTTTGTCAGAGATCACAACCAATCTGCGAAAGAATGAGATCCTGGAGATGCTTCGCAGCACTGTGATTCTTTTCCGAGCAGACGGTGATTCTTTGGCACTTGGCGCTCTCAACTCTTTGGATCTTCCCTGCTTTCAAGGTCCATATGTGTCGAAGCTTGGAAGCCGTTTGCTATTTAAAGAAACACGGGCCACTGTTTATCCCCATTGTGTTTTGAAACATTGAGCCCTAAAAGCTTTTCATTCTGACAGTTTTCTTGCAAATCACACTCAACCTGAATTGCTTCAATAATCTTCAATATGTTCACACCTGCAACTTTCCAAGCATAGCCATGTATGGAATCCAAGGAATGGCCTATGCAGCAAACTGCTCTCAAAGTTCGTGATGTCGTGGCAGAGAGAGCATGGGACCTCTGCACAATCAGTCACTAGCGAATGCAAATCTCATGGCTCAAAGAACAAGCGGACCCTGTGACAGCTGTCCCCCACCACCAGCCAAGCTAATCTTCCTGCCGATGGTTCAGAAACCGGCATGCGAGTGACTCAGTGTGATTTCAGACAATTTACGGCCATCCACAGTACTGAGCAGCGCGCGTGTACTTTCTTCAGCCCACTTGTGCGGGCAAAAACAAAACACCTCAGCCTGTTTGCAGCTCCAGGTTAAGACGACATCCACTGAAACATCATTTCCTCTACCAATAGCAAACACTGCCCTGGGCAACTGAAGAAAACCGTCCCAAAAATCCAACGAAATGTGCGATGCGGGAATCCATTGATAGTGGATGTGAGAAACCTGCAACCTGTTTGGTCCTAAGATTAATTACCATCTCTCTGCCGAGCCTGGGGTTGCTACAACACTCCTGGAGCGCGGAACGTGATTACCAGGAATGGGACTCCGTAAGACCAAAAATGCTGACATCTTCAAAAATTATGTTTGCACGCGTAGGTGTGCCCTAGTGGGAGCAGTATTTTGAAGCAAGAAGCGGACACTCCAAACAGATCGGCACTCTTGCGACACTCCCATATGTCAGTGACTCATGGTAGAATGCAATGAATTTGTTTGCTGAAAGACAAAAAATCCAACTGCATCAGTTCCGATGTAAATATCGAATTTCTGCATTGTCGTACTAGCTTGCCATACCGGCGCGGGTCATGGTTCCAAACTCCAGTTTGCCAGGTGACCAAGTGCATTTCACACCATGTTTTTCAGCTTGCTTGAGCAAATATAGCAAGTACCTGCCTCAGGCTTAAGATGACACCCTCAAAAAGATAGGTTAACAGCAACATGTCATATCTTAATGCTGAAGTTGCTGTCTTATACGTTTGATTCTCTGTTTCGGCATTAAATAGCCATTATTTCTATCGACTTAGATATTGTTCTTAGGATATAAATTGCTCTAAGTCCATGAACAAGGTCAAAATCGCCCCACCCAAGCGGGTGGCCAAATTTCGACAGCCTCCCCAGCAGCCCTAGCCGGCCTTGCCGCTGCCATGGGCACTCCTGGAGGGCCATGGGATTTTGGCATCTGTGTGGGGCACCTTGCCTCTGAATGAAGGAAAATTCATGGAAATCTGGTTTGTGGTTGACCTACTATGGCCATAGTACCCCTCTGAAAAATGATGGAGTTCGTCAATGGGAAGGATGACATCCCATATATTCTGGAAAATAATCCAGTCATGTTTGAAACCACCAGAAATTCATCAGCTGCATTGATTTCATCTGATCTTGATCTTACAGAAATCCTAATTGTTGATGGAGAAACAGCTGGAATGTCACCGACAACGATTCTGCACAACCAATGATGACCTTCTTGGAACTGCGAATTCACCGAATCCCCCCGGAATTGGTGTAGTGTAGTATTTATATAGAAGCCACAAGCGGACACTCCAACCAGTTTGTCCTCTCTTGGCACCTTTAAAAGTATATCTGAATCTTAATCGCTTATACCCTGAAGTGCTAAAATTGGGAGTTGTTTATGCGGCTTGGGTTCGACATATTTAAGAGGACGCACCGCAAATGTGAACAATTGTTCAGCAAGTGGTCCAACGCGACATCCAATTGCACCATGTTTGCATCAAACATATCCAATGATTCTCTCCGCAGCCTGCATCAATGCAGTCAAACAAAACCCCACAGTTTCTCCCCCAAACCAATGCTGGCGCTCCTTTCCATGTGTCTGTCAGCCCCAGGCGCGACTCTCACCACGGAAAAAATATCCCCGCCGAAGTGATTTTTGCATAGTTTTACTATGTTTTGCTATGTTTTGGTAACATGGTACAGGCACTGGAAACTGTCCAGCCAAGTTTCAATCTTCGCACCACCTTTCGGGCCCAAAACGGATCAACAAACCCAGCATGATGCAATATCATCCTGTCAGAGATATGTCAGTCATGAGTGCTAAATGTCATGTTTGATGTGCCCAGGAAAACATCTCCACAGACCTTTATGAATGTGGATCATTGGAGGAAAGAGGCAAGAAAATGCGCAGCGATCGCAATTCGATCTTTTCTTCGATACGCTTAGCACCTCCAATATGTGCTGAAGCAGAACTGCAAACCTTTGAAGCTGATGCCAGAGCTGCCACATTCAATAACTTCATAGACTTAGCCAAGTTTCACTCAACTCTATATTTAATCATCATATGATATATCATATTATATTGGCTTGATGTTGATGCCTTGCATTCAGACATTCGCAGCTCAAACGCATGGCTTCGAATAAAGCGTTGACAAGTTCCAAGGGAAAGGTCGCGTCTGTTCCACAGAGTGATTAGAAAGCCACGCTAGTTGAGCATGCGCATGCTTTCCTTAATTTCTTTCCAACTGGTACCAGGAACAGTTATCCACTTGGGACTTCGTTGGAACAGAAGCACCACCCGTCATTTGCCAGCGCCTTGGTGTTCCAAGATGTTGGGCCATATTTCATGGATGCATCTCACATGTTTGTACAAACCTTGTACATAGAGCAATTAATGCTTGCAACAGTCATCATGGCTACGAGTACTCAAAAATCCTCAAGGTTCCCAATATTCCAGAGCTTGGGACTCTTTGTTTGCTGTAAAGGTCTCTCAATTTCACATTCCCAGTCTCCACTTCAATTCTGTGACAGAACCTGCAATTCCAAGTACTGGCTGATGTCAAGTAGGAAAGCAACCTACACTGCAAACTTCTGCGCGGTAAAATACCTGTAAGTTGCATGATGATTTGAAGGGTTGTTTTTCTCCAAATACTCCATGCCAAGCTTCAATTCTTAAAATCAGTTGCCTCGCCAGGGACATGCCAAAAAGGCAAACACAAGACACATGGGGTGCAACAGTCTGACCATGCCGAAGTAAAACCATAATGTGTTTATTATGTTTTATTGCATGCTTCGGATCTGTGAAAGTTAACTGCAATGAACACAAGCAGCCCTCCCGAATACAGCCAAGCAACTGCTGGATGCCCAATGGCCTCAAGATCCAAACCCCTCCAATCGTTCAATATGCGCTAGCCATACCTAGCCTGCGTTATGAATGTGCTTGGGTAACCTTGGATTCTCTCGTGAGAACATGTGTCGTGCGTTTCCAAACTGCTCACTTGAAAGCTGCTCGCACTGGTTCTTTTGGCCTGGGGTGCTCTGTGACAGCTGGTCCTGTCTGCTTGACAGCTGGAGCTGCTGCTGGAGCCAATCTCTCCCACACTGGCGCCAGTTCCCCATTCCTCCAGTGTGAGTCATAGTGAGTGGAGCAGGTTGGATCGCGATCATGTCGTTGAGTGCTTTCCCGTGAGCATAGTCCGAATCGACTGCCACGCGTGCCAGAATGTCATAGATGCCTTCCGCTGGTATTTCCGTCCAATTGGCGTTGATTTTCTGCATCTCGTCATACTGGAAGCGAGAGACGCTGTCACTGATGTTCAGGTTGGACTGGACCCATTCGAGATGTAAGTGCCAGCCGTCGAGGGCGATGATCCTCCATACCAATGCCAGGACATTGCAGATGGCAGGGTCTCGGCAATAGCCTGTCCTCAAGGCAAAGAAGCCTGCCGTGTTGTCAATGAAGGACATCACCAGGTTCGAGGGCAATTGACGGCAGGTCAAGAATCCCATGAGTTGGGCAGCAATCTCGAGGAAGTAGATGTAGGCTTTCCTGGTACAAAACTTCTTGATGAGTCGTGAAGGCAAGCTTCCGGAGGAAAACCAAGTGTTGCCTTCGAAATGAATCACCACTCCCCAACCATTCTCATAGGTATGGCACTTTGTCTTGTGCCAATGTTTCGGGATAGTCTTGGATCCTGGTGAGTGGTGTGTGCCATCAATCACGAAGTACGCATCTGAATAGAGGACGATGCAACTTTGGTCCATCTGCTTGGGGATCACCCTGGGTTGGATCTCTCGAAGAAGATTCATCAGCGATCGTAGTGCCGATCTGAGTGGTCCGTTCAGTTGGCCGTCATGGTCGCCCTCTGAAAGTCCATGCGCTCTTGCGTAGAGCGGTTGGAGTGATGCGCGACCCAATTGGCCGAACAGAGTTGAGGTCAGGAAAACCAACTTTCCTGCGAGTCGGTGAGCTGCCTCATCTGTCAGTCTGTTGGTCTCCAATGCATTCTGGATGACCTTCTTGGCCTTGTCGCATCGTTCAGGGTGTGGTGACAAAATCACCTCGTCCTCTGTGATGTGCATATTGATGCCCAAAACTTTCTGTCGGGCTGCTGGTGGTAGAGCCTTTCTTTCTTTCATGCGGAGTCCAAGTACCCTCATAAGGCGTGTGAACTCTGAGAAGCTGCTGTGTACC